CGAGTTCGAGCGCGAGTACGCTGCTGGCCGTTCCCCAGAGAACGCTCCCCACGACCCTGACTCCCTCGCCGAGGCCTTCAAGACGTCCAAGTTCCAGAAGCAGCTCGACAGCGAGATGGAGGAGTACAAGGCCCGCCTCGCCCAGGAGACCGAAAAGCACGAGGACTTCCAGGTTGCTGTCCGCGAAGCCAAGCGCGGCTCGTCTCACCGCTCCGTCTACGCCGTCGGCTTCCACCTCCAAGTCTGGGCCCTCATGAAGCGCCAATTCGTTCTGAAGCTCCAAGACCGCCTCTCCCTGTTCCTCTCCTGGCTCCGTTCCATCGTCATCGCCATCGTCCTCGGTACCCTCTTCTTCCGTCTCGGCTCCACTTCCGCTAGCGCCTTCAGCAAGGGCGGTCTCATGTTCATCTCCCTCTTGTTCAACGCTTTCCAGGCCTTCTCGGAGTTGGGAGGTACAATGATGGGTCGTTCAATCGTGAACAAGCACAAGGCGTACGCTTTCCATCGTCCCTCGGCTCTCTGGATTGCCCAGATCATCGTCGATCAGGCCTTCGCGGCGACTCAGATCTTGGTGTTCTCGATTATCGTCTATTTTATGTCCGGATTGGTCCGCGATGCCGGCGCCTTCTTCACTTTCTACCTCATGATCCTGTCTGGCAATATCGCAATGACTCTTTTCTTCAGAATTATTGGCTGTATCAGTCCCGATTTCGATTATGCCATCAAATTTGCCGTCGTCTTGATCACATTTTTTGTGGTGACGTCTGGCTACCTCATTCAGTACCAGTCCGAGCACAAGTGGATCCGCTGGATCTACTGGGTCAATGCTCTGGGTCTTGCTTTCAGCGCCATGATGGAGAATGAGTTCTCGCGCCTGAAGCTGACATGTTCCGATGAGTCTCTCATACCTTCGGGACCGGGTTATACCGACATCAACCATCAAGTTTGCACGCTCGCGGGATCCGTCTCAGGCACGACTGAGGTTGATGGCTCCGCCTACATCGCCAATGCCTTCTCCTACTTCAAGGGCGACCTGTGGCGCAACTGGGGTATCATCTTCGCCTTGATTGTCTTCTTCCTCATTATGAACGTCACTCTTGGCGAGTTGATCAACTTCGCAGGCGGCGGCAATAACGCGAAGGTGTACCAGAAGCCCAACGAGGAGCGCAAGAAGCTCAACGACGCTCTCATGGAGAAGAGGGCCGCTAAGCGTCGCGGCGATAACACCGACCAGGGCTCCGATCTCACCATCAACTCCGTTAGCGTTCTCACCTGGGAGAACCTCAACTACGACGTCCCCGTCCCTGGTGGCACTCGCAGACTCCTCAACAGCGTCTTCGGATACGTCAAGCCCGGCCAACTTACGGCTCTCATGGGTGCCTCCGGTGCCGGCAAGACGACCCTCCTGGATGTCCTCGCTTCCCGCAAGAACATTGGTGTTATCGGCGGCGACGTGCTTGTCGACGGCGTGAAGCCCGGCAAGCAGTTCCAGCGCTCAACTTCTTACGCCGAGCAGCTTGATCTCCACGACCCTACTCAGACCGTCCGCGAAGCCCTCCGCTTCTCCGCTCTTCTGCGCCAGCCTTTTGAGACGCCCGAGGCTGAGAGGTTCGCCTATGTTGAGGAAATTATCGCCCTTCTTGAGATGGAGCACATTGCAGACTGCATCATCGGCAGCCCTGAATTTGGTCTTACCGTTGAACAGCGCAAGCGCGTCACCATTGGCGTTGAGCTCGCTGCGAAGCCCGAACTCCTCCTCTTCCTCGACGAACCGACCTCCGGTCTTGACTCTCAAAGCGCCTTCAACATTGTCCGTTTCCTGAAGAAGCTCGCCGCTGCTGGCCAGGCTATCCTGTGCACTATCCACCAGCCGAACGCCGCCCTCTTTGAGAACTTTGACCGTCTCCTACTCCTTCAGCGCGGCGGCCGCACCGTTTACTTCGGTGACATCGGTCAGGACGCGGTCGTTCTCCGTGACTACCTGAAGCGCCACGGTGCCGTAGCTAAGCCCACCGACAACGTCGCCGAGTACATGCTCGAGGCCATCGGCGCCGGCTCCGCCCCGCGCGTAGGCAACCGCGACTGGGCCGACATCTGGGACGACAGTGCCGAACTCGCTAACGTCAAGGACACGATTTCCCAGCTGAAGGAGCAGCGCATGGCCGCTGGCCGCACCGTCAGCGCCGACCTCGAGAAGGAGTATGCCTCCCCGCAGATGCACCAGCTCAAGGTTGTCATTCGCCGCATGAACCTCTCCTTCTGGCGCAGCCCCAACTACCTCTTTACCCGCCTCTTCAACCATGTCATCGTCGCCCTCATCACCGGTCTGACCTACCTCAACCTCGACGACAGTCGCTCCTCGCTGCAGTACAAAGTCTTCGTCATGTTCCAGGTCACCGTCCTCCCGGCCCTCATCATCTCCCAGGTCGAGGTCATGTTCCACATCAAGCGCTCCCTATTCTTCCGCGAGGCCTCCTCCAAGATGTACAACCCCATCACTTTCGCAAGCGCCATCACCATTGCCGAGCTGCCCTACTCCATCCTCTGCTCCGTCGCCTTCTTTTTGCCGCTCTACTTCATGCCCGGCTTCCAGTACACTCCCTCCCGCGCCGGTTACCAGTTCTTCATGATCCTGATCACCGAGCTCTTCTCCGTCTCGCTCGGCCAGGCCCTCGCCTCCCTCACCCCGACGCCCTTCATCTCCTCCCAGTTCGACCCCTTCCTCATGATCACCTTCGCCCTCTTCTGCGGCGTCACCATCCCCGCCCCGCAGATGCCCGGCTTCTGGCGCGCCTGGCTCTACCAGCTGGACCCCTTCACCCGCCTCATTGGCGGCATGGTCGTCACTGCCCTGCACGACCTTAAGGTCGCCTGCACCCCCGCCGAGTTCAACCCTTTCAAGGCTCCCGACGGCCAGACCTGCGGAGAGTACATGCAGCCCTTCTTCGAGCGCGGCGGACCTGGCTACCTGGCCAACAACAACACCCAGGACTGCGAGTATTGCGCCTACAAGGTCGGCGACGAGTTCTACGCGCCCCTCGGCCTGACTTTCGACAACCGCTGGAGGGACCTGGGCATCTTCATCGCATTTGTGGGAAGCAACCTGATCATCCTCTTCGCTGCTGTAAGTTGATGCACCCCCAATCTTTTTGCCGAATAATTACTGACACCCTTAACAGAGCAAGTTCTTGAACTTCAACCGCAGATAAACCCCCCTTCCTCCCCCAACCCGTACATTATTTTCCTTTTTCGTATGTTGCATGGAAATGAAACGCGCACGTTGACATGCACGTTTTTCCATCCGCCACACAAACGTTTTCTTGTGAGGCAAAACCACTGGCATTTGCAGATACCTTCAAATTGGAGTCTTGGGCGAATTAAAAGAGAAAGAGAGAATATGTTTTTGTTTTTGACGAGAAGATGGGAAAGATGAGAAGAAGATTAGAGAACGCCTTCATTGCGCGTGCAGCATGGCCTTGCATGGGAACATCACGCCTTTTCCCCCAACCTGTCTGGTACCTTTGAGTGCCGACCATCATCATAGCATAGAGCTTTTACGTAATTTAATAGATGTGGAGAGATTGTAAGAACCTGGGGATGACGCTGTGTCCGAGAGTGTCGGCCTGCAAGTCCATGAGAGCATGATCATCATGTGCAAGTAGGCGTTTTTCTAGTAGTTCACAACTGTCTGCCAATTGTTCTGTCCGGCGCGAGATGGGCAAGTCTAAAACGCAGCTGCGTCTCTTCCTATCAAGCTGCACCTTCGAACTCCTGGTCGCCGAGCCAGGACAGACGTCGTGAATTGGAGATTGAATATGTAATTTGTTCTTAATGAACTTTTTTGTTCGTTCGGTCTTGCCCATGCTCTCGGGCATTTACTTTCTCGGGAGTATACTGGGACGAAAGCTCGTCATACTGGGGGAGAAGGTCTTCTCTTCTACACAGGTACACGAGCATACATGGTCATCATTGTAATCATCGAACCTTGTGGTCCTCGACGGGGCAATCAAAGCGAGATGGCGCGTCTTGATTTGCGGCCAGTAGAATAAGGGTGTTGCACTGATAGGTCTTTCAAAGGTGATCCGAGACTTCTCAAGGCACACGTTATATGGGCCAGCACGTCGTTTCTCTGCCACATTTAACGTCGAGACTCGAACACATGAAAGCACGCTTTGCTCATGACGCGAACCACCGTGTCCTTCATCATCGCTGCGCTTCTAGTAGTCGACGTGGGGTCAGATACGAAGGTGACGAGTCGACACAATGGAGGGGCGCGTTTCTTGGTGCTAGCTGTTGCGTAGTCTCGGCCGATGGGGGCGCTCAGGAAAGGGGACTGTTTTCAAATTATTAGTTCATAGAGCAGGCGCTTGACAATGTTTCATCTTGAACTTCGTCGTGCGGCTGTTGACACATCTCGTCTGGAGGATAGATCCGGTGATGCAGACTAGCGGTGTTGTCTGGGATTATCGGCAGATCTAGTGTTCCCTTGATTTAAAAGACTTGCGGCAAGATAAAAGGACATGGCAAATGCCGCGGACTCTTTCGACAGTCGCTCAACATTACCGCCTAATATCTACTGCCTCCAAAACGATTCCCACGCTTCCTTGCATAGCTCTTCGCGTATTTGCTGTAGATAGTCTCTGAATGCAACTGGCTCTTCACCCTCGAGCAGAATCCTCCCGTTCACGACACCTTTCCATCCCTTGATGGGTGCCTCGATGTACTCGTGATCCGGCGGACACTGCGGCATGTACCGGGGTCTACTAAAACTTTGATGATCATCTTGGCCTCTCATCTTGTAGCACAGAAAACATTCAGAACAGACGCGACAGAGGTAAGAAACGCGTCTCGCCCAGGAGGCGAACTTGGCCGTGGGCATGCAGCCCCCGTCGCAGAACAACACGACATCGTCATCGAGGTCGCTTTCGTCGCCCTTGAGTCGCGTCACAGAATCCTCATCGCCGCCGTCATCGGAACCGTCGTCACTACGTTCTTCCTCATCATACATCGCGTTCTCGTCCTTCAAGTTGGGTCCAGACGAGACTTTGCGCAGATGGGAGGATCTGCGCTGCTCTCTTGAGCCCCTGGCCGTCCTTGACGGTCCCGCCGAGAATGCCCAGCGACGTCGCCAAGCAGACCAGATTATCCCGGTCATTCCAGCCCACGTTGTCACTGAGGGCCCCCATGCAGGGGTCGACGACGCCCTGCAGCGTCTGGTGAAACTTCTCGGCCGGACCCAGTTTGAGAAACATCCGGGCGAGGACGACCTGCTGATACAGCACAGCAGTGTTCGAAATCGGCGGCACGTCCAGCGCGAGGGGCCACATCAGAAGCCCCTCGATCGCGGCCAGAAGCTGCCGCTTGCGCTTCACGTCTGCAGACTCCCGGAAGAGGCGGTACAGGATCTCGCTCTGGAAGGTGTCGGCGGTGTCCAGCGTGGCCTCGGGCGCCTCGCCCATCACGGCGTACGGCCAGCCGGTGGACCCGCTGTCCAGGGCCTGGTCGAAGACGGCCCTCGCGGCTTCGGGGTCTCTTGTCACGTTGATGTGGAGAAAGCCGAGCTCGACGAGAAAAGGAGCGGACGCGTTGACGTTGTCCAGCAGCCTGATCGAGTCCTGGTACATCTGGAAGGCAAAGGCCACCTCTCCGGACTCGACTGCCGCATGAATCACGGCCTGGTGGACCGAGTCCCAGGTGTCTCAGCAGAGGTATGCCGGCCGTTCGAGAGGAGACCATGTCTTGAGCGTCCTGATGAACTCCTGCTTGCCAGGTTCTTTCTCGAAGGGCTTTATCTGGGCTCGCAGGCCGTCGCCCGCCACGAGATTGCTTGGGTCGATCGATCCCGCCAACTCGTACGATGCAGCAGCGTCCTGACGCCTCCCGAGCTTGGTTTCGATCTGGGCTTTGGTGGTGTATACCGAGCGACGCAGCGTGAGCGGGACCGACTCATCATGTACTTGGCGCAGGCAAGCCTGTATGTCTTCGTAGGCCGCTTGCGGATTGCCTTTGGTACGAATTCGAGAGAGCAGCTCGAGCGACTGTACGCGCTCGAGTGTGGTTTGCGAGTAAGTCATGGCCTTGAGACAGGTACTCTCCGCAGTTCGTGCAGGAACTGAAGGGCCGCAAGCCAGTGATAGCTATTAGAGCCCGAATCGATATCTTCAAACAGACCATCAAGACCGACCACTGCCTGTTTGGCCGACAGAGCCCCTGAAATGTCGCCAAACGTAGAGGCGAAACTCTCTCGCGCCTGTTCCTCAAGAATCGTTCCTTTGCCGCACTACGAAGATTTAGCACCATTCTAGAAGGAATCTTTGTCAAAACTCACAATCTTCAAAGAGACATTGGCTGCTGAGAATGAGGCTTCGGTCGTGTTCACATCGACCGCATCCTGGAGCCTGCGGACATGCAACTTGGCATGCTGGAGCAGGCAGTCTCTGAGGCGTTCAACAACGAGAGTCCACCACTCGGTAGCCTCCGTGTTGAGAGCCACTTCTACATCAGGAAGGAGGCCAGCCCATGAGAGGAGTCTATCAAAGAATGAGTCGTCGAATTTCTCATCGTTGTAGAAGGCGATCTTCAGCTCCTCCTCCGGGATCCTCGCGAACGAGCTCTTGTCCAGCATCAGCGAGGCGAATGTTTCCATCGCTTCAGTCTATTGCTCGACTTTCAAATGTTCTGCTTCGATGTGGCGCCAGTGGTGAGGGACGTAGTTGACCGCGTACTCCCGAACACCTTTATCGGTACCCATGATGCCGGGGTGCTCTGGCTGGATGAAGTTACAGCAGGTGAGAAACATTTGTCTGTGTGCTTCCGATCTTCGTGGGCGGTGGCCATCGTTGGGAGCAACAGGCTCTTCCCGGAAGAAGCCGCGCATAGAGCGTTCTCTGAACTTGATGGCAAGTTTTCCGTCTTGGTAGAGATCGTCCGACTGGGATGTCCTCTGGACCTTTTCCAGCTCATCTACGGCGGTCCCCTAGCCCCCACGCGACTAGATCTTTGCCCGTGTTTCGGCGCCCGAGTCCGGATCGCAGATCCGAAGGAGCTTGGAAAAGGGCTCCGGTATCTCTTCAAGATCGAAGTCACTTTCATTGGACCAAAACCGTAGTAGGGACAGGCTTCCCTTCAAGTTCATAGGCCTGAGCGAATACGCAATCCATTGCAAGAGCTTGGATACAAGCTCACGGTGCCTGGATTCGGTCCAACGGAAGCACTCTGCAGTCGTTACTTCGTACAGCTGGTAGAGGGTGCGGGGGAGAGGCTTCTCGAGACTGCGCAGGACGGCGCCTTCGCGTTCAAGAGTGTTGACTCTTGCTAGCAAGTGTTCGACATAGAGTATGGACATTCGCAAATCATTAGCTCTAACATATCAAAGAATGAGGGACGGGGGCCGGAAGATCTGATCTTGATAGGTGCAATCTCCTCTGTCTTGTCTGCAACACGCTGCTGAACGTAGCGGCTGAACTTTTTGAGAGCGCTCAGGGAGTTTATGCGAGCCCAGATGATGGTTCTCAGGTCCATCATCTGCTTCTCCCTCGCGATTTCAATATTCAAAGGGGGTTTCGAGGATGACTCCTGAACGTTGAAGTCAGATCTAGCTGTGTACGCCATTGAGATCCCTCCTCGATAGTGTTGCTGAACTACCCAAAGAGGGCAAGGTCGTTGGCAGCAATCTCATCGACTCCATCAAGCACCAAGAACAAGCGGCCATTTGAATCTTTGCCAAACGCAACGCCTAGGAGCTTGCGTAAGAGGTCATCGGAGCTTCCTTGGTTGATCTGAGACTCATCGCGGACGGTCTCTGCATACAAGGCCTCGCAAAGCTCTGGGCTCTGCTCGGCGACTCGATTGATGGCGCTGATGACACCGTTGGCGAAGGACGAGAGGCTTTCGTTCTGCTCGCGAAAGTAGAACTGAGCCACGCACGTTCGCCTCGACGAGTCTCTGGCCGCCTTCTCGCTTCTCAGGGCTTGGTAGACGGAGAACGCGAGATGGCTCTTGCTCGTACCGGGGCTTCCAGTGATGGCGAGGACGGTATTCGGCAAATCTTGCTGGTTCAGCCACCTTTCCCACTCAGGCTCCCGAAACGCCCAGACACACGTGTCGGGCACTATCGTCTCCTGTAACACGTGATACTCGTGGTCCGCGTCTTCGACTTTCGTCAGGGTGTTTCGGATGCGCTTCGCCACTAGATGCTTGCCGTGCTCCGCAGCAGAGGACTCGCCCTTCTGTTCTCCGCTGCCGCGTGGTTTGCTCTGCTCCCGCTTCTGGTCGTCAAATGCCCTGAGGAGTTTCGCCATGTCGTCGAGGAAGCTCTCGGTCGTGTCCCAGACGACGCTCATGACCTGCATCTGCTCCTCGAGCATCGCCATCTGGAAGTGATGGTTCTCGAGCAACTCCGAGGTCACCTTCTGGATCCCTTCGATGTTGCCCAGGATGGCGAACTCGGTCGCCTCTCGAAGGCGTCGGATCCGCAGATCCATCTTCTTTCGAGCCCCTCAAGCTCGTTATCTTCGCCTTGAATTAAAATGCTGATCCACTTTCTGTTTACCTTAACACAGACATCGCAGCCGGTTGTTAGACTGGAGGCATTCGATCTTCCTCAAGTGACCGAGTTCGATATACTTGCGTGCAAAGCCGCACATGGTGAGAAATGACATAAAGGTATCCATCGAACAGTTCTGGTGTGTGTTGTAATTTGGAAGCCTGGTCTCCAGGATGATGATGCGCTGCAGGAAGCTGTTCATGTCCTCGAAGAAGACCATCACAAAATCATAATCTGCCGAGACCTTTCGACACGCCTCTGATTCCTGTTTAACCTTGTTTCGTTTAAGCTTGTTTCAACACACGAAATGGCGCTTCTCTACTTACGCTCAGCATGAAGGTAACGGCGGTGCCAATTGCCGCGGCCGGCGGGAAGGCCGACACGACGGCCGCGACGAGCTGTTGTGTGCCCTTCTCGATGTAGTCCAGGTTTTCCCAGAAGAGCCCGCGCAACTTGTCGACCTTCTTGTCGTCGTGACGAAACTTATGGAAGTTCTGCATCTCCTTGGTGCCCCGGGTGATCATTGCGTCTATAATTGCGTCTATATTCTCGAACTTGCGCTCCAGGTCGAAACCCACAATGCCCTTGTAAGTCTTCAGAGCATCTTTCCACAAATCCGCGACATCGCGGTTGTCGCCAGCCATGTCGTCTGGGACCCTCTGAGCTGAAAAGAGGGCGGGCTGAATATTTGTATGTTGCTGTGAGGATCGGGTTTCAAAGCGTGATGGCGAGGTGATCAGTCGACGATCTGGTCCGCCTGTGGGCGGCTAAAATATGGTAGCTTTAGTATTTTGAAGCTAAGTCTATGTTAGCCTATTGCTAGATTATTTAGGATCGTGTGGTGTTGGCACATACGTAGCTCATTGCTGACGTGTAGATCCAGCTGAAGCGTGTTAGTGCTCGGTGCTCAATTTTCTCGCTCGAGTCACACTACTTGGAGAGAGGTCCAGGGAGTTAAGGATAATCGCGTCAAGAACGACGTCAGGCGTCACGCGATGCTGACGCTGCGTCTACGATGACCCGTTCTCGGCAGGAGAACAGTCCATCTTGCCTGCGTGACAACCTGACGATCGATGCAGATGGAGTAAGGCTGGACCTTGAGCACAACCGGTTGCATACGATGACCTGAACGACAGCTTCGGCATATGTCTGGCGACCAATAGAGGCGGAAATTCTCCTGAAGTCAAATCTTTCATAAAAATGGATTCATTCCCATCGATCTATAGGAACTAGTGACTATCCCCCGACCTCCAAGCTTGTGTTCAGGCTGAGTGCTGGGGTATATTCTAAGAAGAGCAGCATTGCCACTAGGAGGCCATGTAAGCCAATGACTTGAAACAAGGGCGGCATTTGTACATGTACTTACTTGCTGGTATCCTTTGCAGTCGAACTTATTGTTACCCAGGCCCGTGGCGCTTAACATAGTGTTCTTCTGTACGACGAGATTCTTGAGATCGGTTCTCATATCGCAAGTCATAGCAGGGCCTCCGTCGATAGAGCAGGTTCCAGTCATAGTAGCTGTCCACGTGTTCTCGTTCAATGAACATACAGTCTGTCGGGCTTCAAGCTGCTCAGTAGGTAGCCCCAGGGCAGGCTGGGCTATCGCAGCTACAGTAGCGAGAATAATAGAAAGAGAAAGCATTGTATGAGATGTGTCGTGTGAACTAAAGACGATCGGGTGAGGTATGCGGTTCTTCAAAAGAGATGACGAGACATATTCGCTCCTTTAATAGTCTTTGTAAGGTATCTTGCGGGCTGTCTGTAGTTGCAAATGGAGCCGCCGGAGTTGCACGCTGGTGTTGACTGCGAGTCATAAGAAACCTTATTTAGATTCAGATTTATTGGAGGCGGAGTGGGCGGTAATTATAGAAAGTTTCAGTGTGATAAGTTGGGTAGTTCTCAGAACCGGGAGAATCCTGACTCAGGAGCCAATCTCGTGACCGGCAGTGTCGGAAGCTCGAATTGCGCACCGTAACCAAGGCCCCCACCGCACGAATCAGCATACGTTCTGTGAGCTGAAGTGATTTCCAGTTCTGGCGAGATGGGAGAGAGGACAGAATGGGCTGGGTTAGGTTCAGGGAGGGCTACAGAGGGTTTCGGAAGTCTTCAGAGGGCTTTGCAAAAGTTTCAGAGGACTTTAGAAAGGTTGGCGGCGGCTTCAGGGATGTACAGAAGGCAGAGTGGAGAGGGTTAGAGGGCTTCAGAGGGCACTGGGGGGAATGAAAAAGTCTGAGCTCACCTCAATTTTCGAGGGCACCAGAATTGTTGATTCCGGAGGAAGGGATCGACGTCAACGGGCATTTTGACGCCCCGAAGCCCGAAAGAAGCAATTTGAGAGGCTTTGAACGAGTTTGAGGGTTTCTTGGCGTCTTTCATGTTCGTCGCATGTGGTGTGGTTGCGCACCCGTAGTGTAGTTCCCTGCGCGCGCCAGATTGAGAGTCTGCGCCGCGCCGCGCCCCCATTAAGGTTCGCCATTGTCGCAGGCAGAAGTCAGGCCCGCCGTGGAGCTGAATTCCACACATGACGGGAGCGCCTCATTCGAACGGAACCTGGAACCGTCGGATGGGCTGCGCGAGCGGGACGGGCCGTGCCGCACCTCCCCAACTAGGGCCCCCCCCACAGTGCAACCCAATGGCAACGTCTGCAGCGCAGAGCATCTACCTAGGGGACAACCCTCAGAGTGCGGCTTAATCGCCCGTCTGAAAGCCGCCATCGCTGGCAGGAGGTGATGCGTGCGGCCTGGCGCGCTGAAGTCGGGCCAAAGCTGAAGGGAATTGAGTCGCTTCCGTTGAACACCGAGACCGACCTCGACCGATTTTTCGCCGAGGCAGACAAGATTCCCCAAAATGGGAGAGACAAGCTCGTTCCTAAGACAGGTGAGATCAACAGTGAAGACACGGCGCTCATGGATCTCAAGCCTGGAGAGCTGGCCGACACGGTGCGCCAAATAGGTTCAAGGAAGCGATTACGGTCATGATCGCAAAGTCTCACAAGGACCCGAGACTTCCGACAAGCTATCGGCCCATCGCCCTGCTCTGCCCCATAGCCAAGATTTTGGAAAAGCTGTTCGCAGTCAGACTCACGCGTCGGCTGCTGAACTCCGGCGTACTTCCCTTCGAACAGTATGGGTGCCAAGGGAGAAACACCAACCAAGCTCTCGAGTCACTGATCAACGCTGCTTACAACGGCTGGACTGATGGCGACAAGGATCGCCATGTGTCCATTTACGCCCTTGACATCAAGGGCGCGTTCGACCGCGTTCGCCGTGCGCACTTGCTACGGATCCTGAGGGAGTATGGCGTTCCGGACTGGATGATCATGTTCGTCTGGTCGTTTTTGTCTGACCGAAGCACAACCGTCCGTCCGCATGCAGGGAGCAGTGTCGAAGAAGTTTTGGGTGAACATCGGCATCCCGCAAGGAAGCCCGCTGTCCCCCATTCTCTTTCTCTTCTTCTCGATCCCTCTGCTCAACAAGCTCATAAGGGAGAAAGGATTGGTCTCTAACGAAAACGCTGTTCTGTACCAACTGAAGCGTTTTCTGATTGCCGCATTTGTTGACGATATCACCTTCTTAATCGTCTCCGACTCCGTCGAGAAGAACAACAAGGCCGCAAAAAACTTGTACAACGCCTTGGTTGACTTTGCAAAAAAGGATGGCACCACATTCTCCGCTGATAAGACAAAAGTGATACACCTCTGTAGGGCAAGGCGGAAGTTCAACGACAGCATGCCTAACATCAAAGATGCTCCTCCGAAGGCAGAAAAGGCCATCAAGATTCTCGGGCTCTGGCTGGACTATCGTCTGACATGGGAAACGCACGTGACAAAGGTAAGCGAGCCTGCCGATGAGCACCGTCTGTCTTGAGACTGACCCTGCCTCGAAAGATTGTGAACAAGGCCCGGCTGAAAATGTTCAACCTACGTCGCATTGCTGGGTCAACTTTTGGCCCAGGACTCAAGAAGCTTCTGGACAGATACACTAGCGCCATTCTCCCCGTCATCAGCTACGCATGTCCTGTTTGGCTCGCGGGGTATGACGAGAGGAAGTACACCGAATCTGGGAAACCGCCGGGTGGCAGGTGCCGGCTCTCGATCAGTGCCAAGCTTGTCAACAGGCTCGAGAGCGAGCACAACTACTTCTTGAAGCAACTGTCTGGGGCTTACGCCATGACCACCGGCTTCATCCTCCTCAAGGAGCCTGCTGCATTGCCGGACGGGTGTCAATGGCCTCAACGCATGCCTGAATTTCATGTCTTTCAAGGTACGTGCTGTGCTTCCTTCCTCCCTTCTTCTCTCGCCCCTTCTCTCTCGCCCCTTCTCTTCTCTCTCCCCTCTTCCCTCTCCCCTTTTCTCTCTCCCCCTCTTCCCTCCAATGTCCCCCCGCCTCTTCTTAATTCCCTCACTACCTGGCTCTCCACCCTCGATCCATCCACATCCATCTGCGGGGGTATACGAGACTGTGGAAATCTGTTCACACCGCTGAGGGCACCGCTACACGGCTTGCACCCTTCTCCCGCACCCCCTGTCTCTCTCACACACACCTCTTCCACTGGCCTTTATCACACGCCTCTCCCGCTGTACCGCTCGCCACGCCTCTGGCGCCATTCTTTGTGGGCACATGCTGTCACAAGTGTCTTGCACAGCCGATGAGCCCACACAGGTTGCGTGGCCCTGGCGGGACAAGTTCAGAGTTTTCACCGCGGTTCGGCGTTGTCGGTCAGCTTTCTGTCTGCTCGACCGTTCTCTTCGCTATCGGACGTCATCGAACTTTCGTCTTAACTCTGTTCTCGTCCCTCCACGTTCCCAAACCCGGGCGTCGTCGCCTCTCATCGACTTTTCTGCACACCTCTGTTCTTTTTCCCCTCCACGTTCTCAAGCCCAAGTCCTGTCGCCAAAACTCGACTGACTCACACATCTCAGCTGGCCCCCAGCTCTGCCTGCCCCTGCGGAGCCCGTCCTCACGACGCCAGGCACCTCTTCATGGAATGTCCCTTGTTGGCCGCCCCGAGGAAGCACCTGAAGGCCGCCATGCATGTCTTCTGTTTCCACGTCCTGGTCACCGACTACCCCGAGCTAGCTGCCAACTTCGCGATCCGATACTTTTCGCTCGAGCAGTTCGCATGGACGGCAAAACGCCTCGTGAACCCTGACTTTGGCAACCTGCCAACGGGGGGGTCTTACGCTGGGGCTGGGGGAACAACATCGCTGTCCATCAGGCCGAAAGCTAGATAGAGTAGACAGCTTCCATCAATTCAAATGTTTCAACCGCAGGCCTCTGGCCGTTCACTGTGATTTTTACCTGCTTAGAGCGACAGATCTCCCAACTCCGCGCCTCCTGACAATACACACAGCCTTCGGTCACGTGATCGTAAGTAAGTCTTCCCCCCTCCGATCATTGAATCATCTTGACGTTCGAGTTGGACCAGCCTGACGACCTCCCAAGTCTCCGACCACGTCCGTCCGTCCTACCCATCGCCTCAGCAACGAGAAGCTGGCTGACCATTTCTGTCTCACGCAGCTCTCCCAACCTCAGCCGCACTTACATGTGCACGTCAGTCAGCGCGTTCTCTCTGTGTAAGTGAGTCACGATTCTAAATCTCAGAGGCGCGTTTGACTGACAGTTTCACAAGCAGTCGGCACAAGCCGTACTCACCGATGTTCGTAGGTTACTTTACCTCAAGGAGTGCTCAACATCAGCTCACTGCCCAGAAGCCCTAGAGGGCTGCCTCTGCCTTAGAATTGCGGAGGGCCTGTTCCAAAGAAGGGCCACTCCATAGGGTGCGCGAGTACCCTACCCACCTCCGCTGCTAAGTTTGCGCGCTTGCCGTTGATAAAGTTGCGCGTCGCGAGGTCCCCTATAGGGGTATTAATGAGAGCTCTCTTGAGCGTCATTCCGACCATACGTAAGTAGACATAGGATATATGATAGTATATACACTAAATAAATTCCATGCAGGCTCTCTGTGAGTCTCGGATTGCGCGAGGAAAGAGCGGGTTTCATCGATCTGATCGATGTTAAACTCTATGGCGAGCCTTCGCGCGTTGTTTGTGTTGATAGGCGCGCTGGTAGGTAGTGTAACTTCTTTTAGCTAGTCACTACTCTAACCTCTACGTCAGGGCTCAGGGTATCTGTACGCGGGGTCGGGTGCCGACATCGTGAAGGTATGTTTTCTCTGGAATCTCATAGGCTTTACTAATTAAAGATGCTTCAGGTTTCTTGTGGGTTGTAGGTATGACCTGTGCTTCGTGTGATGCTCCTCAGTTCACACTCCTTCTCAGATGAGGGCAGGTTGTTAACATGGGTTTGAGGGTGAGGAAGAGGAAGAGGGATGGGCGCAAGGCCCTGCGCGCAGGTATTGCATCAATCCCCATGCTTTTTGCTCCTTGCTAATGTGTTCTCTAAGCAGCAGAGCTTTTTATGCTTCTGGCTGTGAGAACCTCTTGCGACGACCTCTTTGGTTGAGGAGTCATCTCCGTTTGGTGGCGTTGTGAGTCAAAGTTCCTTCTGTATCTTAGATGTGGGCTGATCCGAGTCAGCGCAGCACCTCGCTGGAAGGTTCAGCGAAGCTGTCGTCAGTTGATATCAGCCAATTCGCGGTCACGAGCGTATGCTAATCTCTGCCAGGCCAGGCCATGAGAGCCTCAGTGACCCCTTCGGCCCCGATGTGATCGGCCCCGCTACGTGCGGCGCCGTTGCTGTTCCGCCGGTCTATTCGGCCAGGGCGCGCGTTCGACTTTGTGCGGTAAGATCGTTGTTTCTTGGTATACCTGAGTCTAACTAGAACTGTAGGTGATGTTCAGAGGGTTTGCCTGCCAGCAGGAACGTATGGGGTTTCTGTACTGTTTTCCTTAATTGGTAGAGGGCACAGGTCAAAGTGCCCATACAGTGTTTCCAGAATTGTGCCCGCGTATAGGGTGAATTTTGCCGTAGTCTTTTTGCGGGGGGGGCTGCGTCATAACTACAAACTCAATAAAAGCGTTTGACCCGCTAAGAAATGCCTCCCTCCTGTATGTGAATGATGTCTTGCCTCAAACCATGTTTCCTGCCTGGCCTCAAGATCCACAGGCCGCACCTTGGTGAGAAATTGAGAGTAAGTGTCGAGTAGAGCGTCTGGCTTACGACCTGGCCGGAGCCCGTGAGTCACCCTGGAGATAGCTGTGACCAATGACTCCTTGTTGGAGGGCGAGGGCGTAACCTTGAGGATTTCTGACCATTCAGGCCACGCCGGAAAGTTCGCGCCGTCTCCACTGTAGGTACAGCTGCAGCCGGAAACAGGACAGTCAATATGTGTCCGACGCCCAATCCTATATAAGCTTAGTGCCTTTCCTCAGTCGAGCTTAGCCCCCAATCCTCACCTCTCCTGTCATCCACCAACTGCATCATTTTCCATCACCGCTAAATCCTTTCCCTACACTTCTCTACCATCTATCGTTATGGTTCATATATTTGATATTCCGCGCGAGGTGCGGGATCTGATTTATCTTCAATGCGTTTTGTCTGAGGGCGGCTACATCTTGGACTTCAACAGCAACAGGCTGAGATGTGCAGACGGCAAGCGCATTGACCTGGCGTTCATGCTCACTTGCAAGAAGATTGCAAGCGAAACCAGGGGACTGGCACTTTCATCGAACATTCTGAACTTCGTAGCAGTCTGCCCCAGTGAGAAGGAGCATCGTGCGGTAGCTGGTCGCTTCGGTCTAGCCCTGACAACGCTCAGTCAGAGGCGAAGCCACAAGCTGCACCAGATCTACCCGGATACTCTGAACATCCCCGATGACATATGGAGGGATATCTCGGAAATCGAACCGAAGCTAGCCCCATACGTCGAACTCCTTCAGCGCAGGCCCAATGGCTGGCGCGTTATGGATGGCGCAAGCCACATGATGCCAACTATCATTGAGAGACCAGAGATTGGCTGGCCTGGAACCTGTGGAGAGACGCCGTCCGTCTTCCGCAAATTTGCTCGTTCTGCGCTACAAGTACTTTTGGCGAATAAGGATCGATTCGAACCGGAAGAGTTCCTTCAATTTGAAAGGGGGATGCTCCGCTGGCATGAGACCGAGCATGCAGGCATCGTCGGCGTCAACCCTGATGCATGGGAGATCCCGACAACACAAAGTCTTGACCGGTACTTGCGCGATATGTGTCCCGTCACTGCTGCAGAAATCTCAGAACAATGAGAAACTCCTAACCAAGGGTTCGATCAAAGGCTTGTCAAACATCACTACTCAGCTGCGGCTGCTGCCATACGACTTTTATGCTCTTTGCGTAGGGACTCTCGGCTAAGCATACGAAAAATCATTCTCAACGAAGATCGAGCAGCTGTTGCATTCCCGGAAGCGCACGGCCTAGGTCTTATTCCATACTGCCAGGAAAACCCGCGCCTTCGCGTGGAACGCCGCGTCAGTATGTGGAAGACAGTCTTCCAGACTCAGTTCGATGGTCGTAACATTCACGTGAGGCCGTACGACTCCAACGATGGCCTTTGGGCGGACTCGGTGTCTCGTCCTGTGGCACTCTGGATCCTGGAAGCCCTGGAACTCGAACCCGCCGGAATGCCGCCTGGCGCCTTCACGTTAACCTTCGAGGGAGACCAAAAGTGCTGGGAGATTTTCCGCACAGTCGTGCAACGCGATGCTGCATGGCAAGCCGCAGTCGACCTCTCTCTGAAAAGGCAGATTCTCCCTTCATTGTCGTGGGTTACGAGGAGACTAGACGGATGGGCCCATATCGGAAGTCTGAGTAAGTGGCACGTTCTTGAAGGCTTCCCGCAAGCAGTGCAAGATATCGTGGCGGGTAAGTCCACTGTCAAGTGCAACTTCGACGTGGGCGAGGCATGGGACGTGGAGAAACTGGTTGAAGAGAGAAAGGACTGGACAATGAGCGATTGGAAAGAACGCTGGAAACGGGGTTTCGGCGTACGTTTCGACCCCGATCCGCCGTCGCCGAAATATCTACACCTCCTCTGCGACAACACATTCGAAATGAACGTCCCAATAGACCCTGCTTCTTTTTAGAGACCAAGGAGCTGGGTGTGCCGGGGTTATTGCGACAATTTGAACACGCTCAGGTGTTTTCGACACATCTATTCACTATACGAGAAGAGAAAGATATTATTAGGTTCTTTGAGTAGGTACTAATAGAAACCACGTTAAAAACCAGTGTGCATTTCCAACCGCTGTTCTCGTCAAGGTTACAAAGCCGGGTTCCAAAATCTTGAAGGTTTGTCCATGGAGTCTTCGACAGGTGCAAATGATCTGAAGATTCGCCCTCTTTCCGTAGCTCGTTATGAGGCGCGCAGTGTGCTTCACTCGATGGAATGGACGAAAGTTGACAAACGCGGTCTGGATGTGGGCCCTTAGCCTACACGACAGCGAGGTGTCTTCTCAAGCACTTGGCAGCGTCCGTCTATCGAGAGTTAGAAGAACGGGAATAGAGTTGCGGATTGATTGGGGAATGGGCCGTAGGATGTCAGCTTACGATGGACTCTTTTGTAGCAACACCCAAGTCTTGCCAACTTCAGGCAAATTGATGATAGTCTAGACTTTATTAGCTGTTGAATCCTGAGATGCGTAATCCTAGGTGCTTGTCGACTTGACCAAATCGCCGCCAGAGGAGGAATCGTTGGCACCAGCCTCAAGGCTCGCTTTCCAAGAGCAGCCTTTTCGAGGCCCAAAACCCTTGCGTTATTGAAGATTGGTCAGGTCCGTGTTCTGGTTATCAGTCATATTTAAAGAATGTAGCCTTTGCGCCCGTGACGACTTGTCTAGCCAAGCTATGTCCGAGCTGTCGCCCTTCTTTCTCATGGGCCTGTCTAGACATTGATTTGGGAGCCCCAAAGAAGCCCCAAAGATTGGTGAAAATAAAGATGGCTAAAAAAGCGTAGAACCATTATGACACTCCGGCCCCATCTTCTCAAGTATGAAGTGGTATATGTCATAGATCCAAAGGTTGGAATTTCAACGGCTGGGTCGAAACGCGGCAGGCCTCAGGAATTCGATGCAAAATTGCAACGAGTCCACCTCAGGACGAGTACTGTGATGAACCGCTGGGGAAAGAGAAGGCGGAGCATTAAAGCATGAGAGATCTGCTTTTGGTTGCTAGCTGAAAGAATCCCTAGTATGGGCACCGCAACTTGGTGGACGATGATTTCGCAAGCGTCCGAGCGTGTGGCTCAACAGTCTGAGCAGCAAGGATTCGATTACGCGGTTTCAACAGACCCTGAATAGGCATCCGAGGAGCTTTAAGCTGCAAAGGCCGAGTGGAGAACAGAGTGCTCTATCACACGCAGAGATGCCGACACTGAATTGAACAACCCCAGCGCCGTGACGTATGGGACGACCCCGCCGTCGGAAACCCGCCGCCGGCAGCACGGACCCGCATCGGGCGACTGTCCTCCGCGACCCCGCCGTCTCCGGCATCCTGTCACCCCCTTGCATGACAGTGACATATCGAGGCCGGTTTCCAGCGCCCCGAAGCGTCCCGGCATTTTAACCTCACCCTGTCGTCAATTTGATCTTTCATCCAAGGCTTCGCTTTGCATCTCACACGTTTCTCTGCTTCATCAAGGCACTTGATTTAGCGGGATCCTTGCAATCAACCCACTCTCACAATGGGCGACCCCACGCCCCGCGACCAGCTCTCGAAGCGGGCAATCCCCTTCATGACCCTTGCCAACGGCCTGGAAGGTCTTCCCGGCGCAAAAGCTCGCACAGCATCCGTCTCTGACGACGCCATCTCCCGCTTCGCCCTCCCCGGGACAGCAGTCGCCACAGGCGGCACCGGTGCCATCGCCCTCTCCGTCGTGCGGGCAATGCTCCAGCACGGGCTCACCGGCCTCATGCTCCTCGACCTGGACGTCACATCCGCAGACGCAGTCACGTCAATCGCGTCCTTGCGCGAGTCCTTCCCCGACGCCAAGATCGAGGCCCTGTCCGTCGATGTCACGGACGAAGAGGGCGTCGGCAAGGCCATGGAGCGCGCTGCCGAGGCGCTGGGCGGAGTCGATTACCTGGTGTGCTTCGCCGGTGTCGTGGGCTGCGTGCACGCGCTGGAGATGCCCGCCGCGCAGTTCCGCAAGATTTTGGACATCAACACGACGGGCGCATTCATCTGCGCGCAGGCCGCTGCGAGGATCATGGTCCGGCAGGGGCGCGGCGGAAGGATCGTGTTCACGGCGAGTATCTCGGCGCACCGGGTCAATTTCCCGCAGCCGCAGTCGGCATACAACACGAGCAAGGGGGCGTTGTTGATGCTGAAGAGCAGTCTTGCGGCCGAGTGGGCCGGCTACGGGATCAACGTGAACAGCATCAGTCCGGGATACATGGACACCGTGCTGAACGAGGGCGAGGGACTGGCCGAGGCGAGAAGAATGTGGGCAGAGAGGAACCCGGCCGGCAGGATGGGCATGCCGGAGGAGGTTGCTGGGGTTGTCGTGATGCTTTGCTCAAAGGCAGGGAGCTATTTCAACGGAAGTGATCTGGTGGTTGACGGCGGAGGTGTTGTGTTCTAGAGCAGGGTCTGTAGATGGGTCAAAAGAGGGCAAGATCTGGACTTGGATGAATAAGTAGACAGAGGTGCATTCGATTTGAATAGAATATTTCATATTCCCTCCCCGCTTTTTCTCAAATGAAGTCTTGAACCCGATTGTATGATGCCAAGTTGACAGGTGACAAACAAAAGATCTTGGGCTCGTCTGAGCTCTTGTAGGGCAGCAGACCATCCATCAGAGAACCCAAGCAAACAGAACCAATTATTTGTGTCCTGGCAGTCACCCTGAGGGAGCAGGTTTTGTCTGTCTGTGTTCATGCAATCTCTGACTGCAGGTTGCACCTTGCTCTGCTGAGTTCTGCAGCACAACCAGCCTTTGTCTAGTTTGACACCTGCCTGCTTCTTTAGTGTTGCCTGTGAAGAATTGAAAACGGACACCAGCAGTGAGACAAAGGTCGGTAACAGGCTTTGCGCACGACCCCACTTGAGATAAGGCACCTACCGCACCTTAGATAAGGCTAGTCGCGATCACGTGGCGTTATCGATACGCCTATCTTAGGGCACTTGAATTCTCGGACTGGGTCCCATCTTGACGTCGCCCTCCCGAAATTTGTTTCAGTGCCGAGTGCTGTTGCTCAAAGTTCAACGCGTCAACACCAGTATCCACACCACAACGCGTACAAGATGAGCTCATACAGACCATCATACCCACCTCGGAGAGGTAATCGCGACAGCAATCGCAACCATGGCCGTGATCGCTACGAGTCCCGCCAAAGCCACCAGGGTCCTCCCGGGGCTGGTGATAGCTGGCGCAATCCCTGGCCAGAGGACCGTGAGTATCGCCGCCGTTCCCGATCTCGATCACCACCGAGGCACTCCGGCCACTATGATTCTTACAGAGGAGGCGACACAGGCCGAAGATCCGGTGGCTATGATGGCTACAGACCCGACTCGCGACCCCCTCAGGGCGACTTCACTTTCCGCATGGACAAGCCCTCCGGCGTGGGCGACATCGGCGACTCCTACCGTCCTGGACAAGGTAATGCGCGACGAAACGGTCGCGGTCGCGGCCGCGGCGGTCCCTATGGCAGAGGTCGTGGTGGATATCAGAAAATCATTCCGGCTGAGCGAGAGCTTCTGAAGTCTCGCCGCGACGGCGTCGATGAGAATCTCGTCAATGACGCCGATGGCGGCGCCAAGTATCGCGACATAGACGAGCTTTCGGACGACGAAGAGGCCGACATGGACATCTCGGACAACTCTGACGAAGACTCGAGCGAGCCTTCCAACAAGCGCGTCCGTCGCGACGACAACGACGAAAGCGGCAACAGCGTGCCCAAGTGGTCCAACCCAGATCCGTACACTGCACTTCCCCCGCCCGACGCCGACAAGGAGCGCAAGAAGAAGGACATGGTCAAGATGATTCGCAAAGCTCGCGTCGACGATTCTGCTGCCGACAAGCTAGCTGCGAGCACCGAGGCCGAGGAGTTTATTTCCTTTGACATGGATGGTGGCGATGATGGCGAGGAGGAGGAAATCATTCTGCCTCCTTCCAAATCGCCGACTCCTCCCCCGCCCCCGCCGTCCCTTCCTGCTCCTCCTCCCCCCCCTCCTTCCCTGCCTGCCGCTGCTGTGTTCAGAGAGCCGCCTACTGCTCCCCGCCACGACCAGGTCTCCAACGGTCACTTCAACGCTTCTGCCGCTTCTACGGCGCCATCCACCTCCGCCAGCAACCGACCGGCCCTCCCTCCGAAGCCAGTCGTGGCCGACGACGCACTCGGCTCGCGCAAGCGCACTGTAGATGACCAGATCAAACCACCCACCTACGGCCCTCTGAGGAAGGTGAACAAGATGCCCGTCGGTGGTGACATACTTCCCGAATGGCAAGTCACCAGACACGAGGACCCTACGCCCTGGATCAAGGCAGACCATTCCAAGTCGTCAGACATGAGCGTTTGGTGAGTTTGACAGTCCACCCTGACAGCCCCATACTGACCTGTCTAAGGCTGCACAAGGAAGTTGTGGATTTCTACGAAATGGTCAGGCCTCGTGAATTTGAGCATGCCATGCGCAGCCGACTTGTCGAAAAGCTTCGCAGGGCCTTGAGAACAAGCCGAAACTACAGAGACCACGATCTCGAGCCGTTTGGATCGTTCATGTCAGGTTTGTATCTTCCCACGGCCGACATGGACTTGGTCGTCTGTGCTAAGCGCTGGATCAACGGCGGTCCTTCGGAGTTCTTTGGTATGAAGCCCCTCAGAAACTTTGGCAAGTTCCTGTCAAGCTGTAGAATTTCCAACTACAGCACCATGGAGTTCATTGGTCACGCGAAGGTGCCCCTGGTCAAGTATATTGACACCCAAACCGGTTTAAGAGTCGACATCTCGTTTGACCGTCTTGATGGTCCCCAAGCCATCAAGACATTTGCTGCGTGGAAGGAACAGTACCCGGCAATGCCTATCCTCGTCACCATGATCAAGCACTTCCTCGTCATGCGTGGCCTCAACGAGCCTGTCAACGGAGGCATCGGCAGTTTCACCGTCACTTGCATGGTCGTCAGCATGCTTCAGCTCATGCCCCAGGTTCAAAGCCGAAACCTCGTCCCTGAGCATCACCTTGGTGAAATGCTCATGGAATTCTTCGATCTTTACGGAAACAGATTCGACTACACGAACACGGCTATCCGTCTGAACCCTCCCGGTTACATGCACAAGGTACGTCCCCCGTCCGATGCGTTGGCACGGTCCTAACACCCCCATCAGACCAAAGTTCCCGATGTCGTCTACAAGAATCGCGACCGACTCTCCGTGATTGACCCTAACAACCCTGCCAACGACATTTCGGGCGGCTCTAGCAACGCCGGCCGCATCTTGGGAGAGTTCCGTTACGCGTACCAGAGGCTACAGAAGAGAATGGCAGAGCTGTCGCAGCTTGGCTCCCGCGCCAGCCAGCCGACCAGCATCCTGGAGGCGATCTACGCCGGCAACTACTCATCGTTCCGTAACCAGCGCGCACACCTTCGCAGACTTCACGACCAGTGACTGAAGATGATGGCGCGATCGAGAGACGTGAACGATGGTTCGGCATGTGATGTTGTTCAAATTCGGCGGGCTTCTTCGAATGTTGTGGGGAGGACTTCTCAGGCTACAGGAACATTTGCTATACACACTGCGTTGCTTACACGGGGTACGGACAAGGCCTCCGTACAGAAAGTAGTACGGAGATGGAGTCAGGAGAGGCGGTTGTTTTCATCGATACCCCCGTTGCCCTCCGCCCGACCGATCAGCGCCGGGCTAGAGACTTTCAGAGGTTTTTGCAGTTTCATTTTGACGAAACGAGTTGTATGATAATGGGGAAGTTGGCGGCATGGATTGACTTTACAGGCCCGGGTCTCTCTGCGTCCTCTGGTACGGGCCGCCAACTCTTCACGGCACGGGCCAGCCCTAGTGGGCATTGAATGAAAGAAAGGACATTCTACATTAGAAAGCTAACCGATGCAGCGTTACCGGTCCCCATCGCGGGAGCGGTAGAACGCCAACGCCTGCGCTCCCTATTTCATACTGACAATTCACAGGACTGTTCTCGCAGCTTCTTCGGAAGCTTGCGCGGGCTCTTCGCGATGAGGCGGTCTGGGTCCCTGGCGACGGGGATCCGGTCCGGTGATGACTTGCAAACCTGGCAGCGTCCTTTCGGGGCGCCGCCGCTTTTCTCACTGCACTCTGCTGCCTTGTGCACGGATGTGGAGAGGAAATGGTCTCTGGACCTAATGGGTTGTATGGTGCATGACATGAATGGGCAGCCATGGAAGACCTGGTTGAGCGATAGTGAACGACCGTCGCGATGAGGCTCAGGCATGTTATTTGGCTGTCCATCAGGCCAGTCGAGTATTGGACTTTCCCGGATGAGTCTTGCGACATGGAGACAAGTCATGTTTTGCGACACCGACCCCTGCACCGGTTCCATCTGGTCGCAGAGCTTGTTAGCATGCTATTCATGGGCAGGCGAAATGAGTAGACTGTCTGCCGCTCAGCCCTGGGATGGGCTGACGACAGCCAAGCCGCAACCGAGACGAGCAAGAGGAGTGCTGACATGAGGAGGAGCCGGATGCCCCTGTCCGCCTCGCTGCCACTGATTCCCGACTGGGAGCTTGTCAGGGTAACGAGTTCAAGCAGGACGTCTTCGACCTCTGCTTTCGCTGGCTGGCTTCGTTGGTCAGGCAGCTGCGAGGCTGTACCTTGACCATCAGCTTTCCCCGCGAAGGCAAGGGACAGCATGCGGGGAGGTTCGCAGAGCCTGCAATCGGAGCGAAGCAGCGCCGAGATCACGTCGAAGTGGTTGCAGCTAGTTGACCAAGCAAGATGGAGACGAAGCAGATGGACCGTTTGCTTGGGACCGTTGGCAGGCGTGCATGGCAGCATTTGACAGATCGGGGTCCCGGCGACAGGCCGACGGGGGGGTTACATTGTCGAAAGCTTCTCGCTTTCGTGTTTCTTGCGGTAGGCCCTGTCGTGCCGGGGCATGGGCGTCGCACCGAATCGGCGCGAGAATGCACGGAATGAGGATGTCCTGTAGCTTGATAGCGACCAAGACGGAGATACTTGGAGCACGTAACTCAGACTTCGGGGTAACGTTGCAGCGCGGATTCCTCCAAGTATGAGAGGGCGCGCAAGTGACCGAGGCGTGGGCAGGCCACCGCAAAGGTCTTCAGTTTTTCCTGCGCAGAGTGACAAGAAGAACTTTGTGAAATGAGTCGGGTCGTGAGGTGCAGTAGTGTAGACGACTTATCGATCTTCAGCAGACAGGTTGGTGATGGGGGGCCGTACTTCGGGTCATCTGCGGCGTTCCTCGGCCGATGCCAGGGCAAAATCGTCTTCTTCGGCGCGATGGTAGAGGGTGGTCTGGGATTCCGGATCTCTCACCATGTCTGCCAAGAAGGACGTTGCAAATTTTTTCTCTCCCGTTGACCAGATGGATTCTGCACGGAAAAGCGTGGGCATGGGCAGCTGCGACGGGTTGAATGATTTCTTCGCAAGCGGTCCATTCAAGGTGCGGGAGGCAGGCGAGCTTTCAGTGGGCTCAGTTTAGGTAATGGAGCCTGAAGCGACGACAGCCAATGGGTATCTCAGAAGAAAAGTCTGGTGTTGATGTACATGGTATGAACGACCCGTCTCGGAGATGTGGTCCGACAAATGGCCCGCAAAACAAGGACGGGAGGCAGACGTTTGTGGGTCTCCCGGTCGAGCTCGGGGGGCATTCCCCCGCATGTGCTCCATCAAGCAGAGAGGTACCTTATGTATTCATTATGTGCAATACCTTGGGTGGTGGCATGAGATGTTTGGTGACCCTCCGTCAGGCAATGGATTTGTGAGGAAATGATGTATTTGTCCTCTGCGAGCGTGTGGCACGGGAGTCACGAGGTATGGACGCGGTCGTGTTCTCGGTGGATTGGGCGCGGTGTGCGGTCTGCAGTACAGGTTTTGCGATCTTGGCCGGGGGAGGAGGGCTTCGATTCGATCGCGGCACAGCGGGTGGGTGGCTTGCAGGAGGGCGTTTGATGTGCAGTAGTAGCTGCGGCATAACGGCGGCAGAGAGGCGGGCTGGCGCTGGTCGCCTACTGTTGATACCGCTTTAGGGGATGTCTTGGGAGGATGTAAGATGAGGCCGGTGGCTTGTGAAGAGAGCGAATAGGGAGGGGGGAATGTCGAGTCACAGTGTGGGGGAATAGTGAATGGTTACATGCCCGCAAAGACGAGAGAGGTGAGGAACGGGGAAGCAGGAGCCATGCGTGGAGCGCTGCTGCGGTTTTTGCCAAGAGGCTAGCTCTTCTGTCCAATTCTACAGATCACGGGACAGCGAAACGAAGGCGAAGGAAGGACGCGCCAACGGTGGTACGACATCTGCCCGTCTTTGGCCCGGCCTGTCACCGCAGGGCAGGGCACTTTGGACGGCGTCTGTTCCTCGTGTCTTTCCCGTCCGGGTATCATTTGCCAAAGAGCTAGCTGCCTGTCATTCAGTCTGTGCGGTCGTTTGGTTTGACTTAAGGTACCTACAGTACCTTAACTTACCTCACTATATGCCTTGCCTTATTGGTAGCATGTGTGTCTTTTTTGTGGCTGTTCACGTTTCCTTCGGGTGCGGGGAAAAGCGGCCGTGAGGATTGGCCCGTCGCACGAGGGAGGGTGAGTGTGGTGTCTGTGGAGGTACGTACCCGACATTGAACACTGAAGGATCCAATGCCTGCACCGACTGAGGTGACTGGAGCTCTCTCCACGTCCCCACTCCACTGTCTTTTCTGCGGGGCTCAATATTTTGGCGACTTCACTAACAGCCAGACCACAACGAACGACACTGGACAGACCACACAAGGCAGACCAGGCTGCCTATCCTACCCTATGGATCCGTACGTACGATGAACGGCGGTACGCATCTTTGCAGCACCACCAACACGAGCACAGCATGAGACATTCAGGATCCAACAGCTCCCAAGGCTCACGGTTCAAGGCAACCAACACCGCCCGTGTGGCATTGGATCTGGCCGAGCTTTTCGTCTCGCTGCAATGTCGCTGCAATGTCGCTGCAGGCTCACGCCCTTGGCCTTGTTCTTGCTTGGCGGCACCATCGCCAATCGTCCCATGTCTTCGGCCACTCGCAGCCCCTTACCGCCAGCCCTCTGCCCCTCTCCCACTTAGGTTTGCGACTCTGACGCTGCTGCCCTTCTCCGCACTTTGCCTCCCGCACCCAATCCCAGTCCCCGGATCATCAATGGATGGCACTTTGGGGGATCAGAGGTGAGGAGATGGGAACTCCTGATTCCCCACGACGCACACTGCCAGTGTTGGCTGTTCCCCGCCATGTTGGACCATCCTTCTCGAACCTCCTCGCCCGACTCCAAGGATTGATCATCACCCTCTCGCTTCCTCCACGCCTGCGTCCATCCACCCTTGACCGATCGTATACCACGGGACGGCCAATCCTCCACACCAACCTGGTCAACCCCATGCGCCAACTTTTGCATTCGGTCCGTCCAATCCATCGCCCAGGGGTTCCTCCTCTGCCGAGACCGTCCAGTCCAATGTCAGTCGACGCCGCATCCCGGTGCGACGGGGGTCGCGTCCTTTCCAGCTTGTGACTCGGAGCTCATTACATGAGACATCTGCACCATCCCGTCTCTGCCTTGTCCTCCCCTGCCCTGCTTCCAGACTGCTACTTTAACTTTCGGACGCGCCCACCTGCGAGCCCTCTAGAAGAAAACCACGAGGGTTCCCTTCATCAACCCAGTCCATCTCATCACACATCCCGCAACCTGTCCTACACAGACTGGTACTCCGACGACAACACAACTGGATATACCTCACACAGACTCGCCACGCGCGGCCGTGAATATGTGGAAGTTTACTAACGTCTACGCCATTTGCGGCTTTGCCGCCATTGGTACGCTCCAACCTCGTTCTCACTTCTGCCAATTCTAACCATGCCCAGGTGGCGGACTCTTCGGCTTCGATATCAGCTCCATGAGCGGTGTTCTCGGGACTCAGGCATACAAGCGATACTTCAATGACCCCAAGGAATATGCCCAGGGTGGTATTACCGCCGCCATGCCCGCCGGCTCCCTCGTCGGCTCCCTCGTCTCCTCCTTCATCGCCGACAAGTACTCCAGAAAGATCGCGCTGCAATTCTCCTGCTTACTCTGGATCCTTGGCGCCATTCTCCAGTGCGCTTCCGTCAACGTCGCCATGCTCTGCGTCGGCCGTGTCATTGCTGGAATGTGCGTCGGTATTGCCTCATCCATCGTGCCTGTATATCAGTCAGAGATCGCTCCCAAGGAGATTCGGTAAGCCATTAAAAACACTGAGAACTTCAGGAGAGTCATGCTAACGATCTCACAGTGGTCGCGTAAGTTCTTGACGAGGTTTTCCCTCTAACCATTGCCATGCTCATACTTCTTTAGGTCGTGAGTTTGCAACAATGGGCCATCACTTGGGGTATCCTTATTCAGTACTTCATCCAATACGGGGCTGCCTCGGGTATTGGAGGAGGCCCCAATGACCCAGATCAGCCAACCGCAGCTTTTCGCATTCCTTGGGGCGTGCAAATGGTGCCTGCCATCATCCTGTTCTTTGGTCTCTTTTTCTGTCCCTACAGTCCTCGTTGGCTCGCCGCTCACGACCGCTGGGACGAGGCGATCAAAGTCCTCGCGAGCCTCCACGGACACGGCGACGTGAACCACCCCAAGGTCCTTGCTCAGTATCAAGAGATTGAGGAGGCTCTCCGCTTCGAGCGCGAGGAAAAGATCAACAGCTTCAAGGCGCTTGTAGCCCCCCGCATGTACAAGCGTGTGCTCTTGGGCATGAGCATTCAGATGTGGTCCCAATTGAGCGGAATGAACATCATGATGTGTAAGTTGACAGTCGATGCTTCGAAGTAGGAAGATGAGAAACTGACATCCAATAGACTACATCGTCTACATCATGCAAGGCGCCAACATGGGTAACCCGCTCATGACCGCCTCCATCCAATACGTCATCAACGTCGCCCTCACCCTACCGGCCATCCTCTTCATGGACAGGATTGGCCGTCGTCCCCTACTCGTTGGCGGAGCTTTCATGATGATGACCTGGTTGTTCATCTCCGGTGCCCTGCAGCAATACTACGGCCAAGCCAACGTTGGCGACCTGGTCACTACCGAGAACGAGTCTGTATCCTGGATCATTGTCGACAACCACTCCGTCTCAGCCGCCGTCGTCTCCTGCTCGTACCTCTTCGTTGCCACGTTCGCCACCACCTGGGGTCCCGTTTCATGGACTTATCCGGCCGAGATTTTCCCCAGCAAGATTCGCGCCAAGGCCGTCTCTCTTGCGACCTCCACTAACTGGTTCTGGAACATGGTTTTGGCGTTCGCCGTGCCACCTCTGTTGTGGAACATTGTAAGTCCACGATAAAAGCTATCCGGAAGACGAATGCTAACCCATCTGCACAGAACTACAAGATGTATTACATCTTCGCCACCTTCAACGCCTGTGCCTTCCTCCACACTGCCTTCTTCGCTCCCGAGACCAAGGTTCGTATGCTTGTTCGCAATTCGATCTACTGGACGCTAACAGCTCAAACAGGGCTTCACCCTCGAGGAGATGGACGACGTCTTCAACTCCGGCCTCCCCGCCTGGAAGACCCACAAGAAGAAGTCCCGCCTCGACGAGCTCGAGAACGAGATCGCCACCGGAAACCTCAAGGTCGCCCGTCCCCACGGCGCCATCGAGACAGAGGACGTCGCTCACGAGACCGAGAAGAAGGGTGCCGGCGCCGTTTAAAGACGCGATTCGTCTACTTGCTATATATAATATCTACGCGGTGAATGTCTAGGAGGATGACGACGATGAAAATACGGGGGGATGAAGGAGGGATGAGGAGGCGGATGGGATCGATGACTTTGGCAAAGATACCACTGTAATGCGCTCAAAGGACGGTCTGGGTTTTGCTTACTTTCACAAGTTTACTAAACATAATATGAAGTTAATGGCACTTCAGCGGCTTGCCGGCCGCAGAGTTATTAACCACTTCGGACTACCACCAATTGGCTCACTCGTCTAGTCACAGGGACCTCTGATGCACCGTCTGCCTAGCAAGGCTGAACGTCCGTTGTACACAATCTGACGCTGTCGACTCAGCGGAGTTCTTGCTTCACACAATGACGATCTCTCATTTGCGGTGGGGGTGCACTACTATGAGATCTCCCAAAACCATCCCTTGGTTGAATCTCAAAGCACAAGATCCGCAATGCTTCCACACGCGCTCAATTTCCATCCGGTAGAACAGGATATAGAGTTGTGATGTGTAAGTAACCAGTATCTCTGGGGCCCTACTTTTGTCTGTGCTGCATGTCTTACATCGTGTTGCATTCTGCTCTGGTGAAGTACACATCACGAAGCTAGATTGACGACATATGGTTGTACATTCCCTGCGCAACAATGCCACCTATTTCTCCGCATGTATCAGTACCCGTCCGCAATCCCATCGGCTTTCTCCCGAGCCCTACGTTCCCCGTCCGCCGCCCACCACCACCGATGCGACTCGTCATGGCCCTCCGCACCATCGTCTTCACAACAATCCCAGGGCTTGGGGCTGAGGATGTAATGGACATTCTTGACTTCCTCGTCCCTCCAGATAACATCATGCACGCCCCGCCACCGCAGCGTCTTCAGCGCGTTATACACATACGGCAACCCGACCCACCGGCCCCGGAACAGCTCCGCAAGCAGGTCCTGGTCGGGAAACACCCACTCCGCAGGCGCGTTCTCGACGCGCGCCGCTATCGCGCCGAAGTGCGCCACGGAGGGGACCACGACGAGGAGGCCGCTGTTGAGCAGGCCGAGCGGGCGCGGGGCGCGGTCCGCGTGGTGCGCCGTGAACGGGCAGCTGGCCGGGACCCAGGTCGGCGGGTAGTGGGGCTTTTTGAGCGGGTTGCAGGTGCACGCGTGGCCGGCGGCGAAGACCTTTATGCCGGCGGTGCTGCTGGCGGCAGCGGGGTTCAGGGGCGGGTGCGTCATCAGCTCGTCCATGTTCCTGCGCACGAGCATGTCGCAGTCGAGGAGGACGACGCGAGCGTACGCGGTGAGGGAGAAGACGGTTAGTTTGGTCCAGGTGTCTTCGAAGCGCGGCTCGCGCGTACAGGCTCTCGTGCCCGCGGGGCGGAGGCGCGGGACCCGGTGGAGGGGGATGCCACGGGCGGCGATGGCGGCGCGGCCCTCCTCGGGGAAGGAGTCTGTGTGCAGGGCGATGAAGGGGTAGACTGTGTTTGAGGAGACGAGGGAATGGTGCAAGGTGAGGAGCCCCGGGAGGTAGCTCATGCTTGTGATGAGACTGGCCCAGACTAAGATGGAGTCCGAGTGGCGAGGCTCACGGCTTGGATTGAGAATCGTACCTCTGTCTGATTGGACAACTCTTTCGACTTGTAACTGTTTCCGCGCTGGTTCCGAGTAATTTCTGACAGCAAAGACGAAGGCACATATGAGCATCGTATGTCGTATATGTATTCAAGCCGTTCGTCCCTTGCTTCGGGAGCCTCACATTGGGCGGAGAAGCACAGATGGACCTTTCGGCCGTTCGTTACGTTAGCTATGCGTCGTGGAACGAACACAGAGCCACTCTCGGCAGCGTAAAGCCGATGAATCGTCTGCGGTCCTGACTCCATCTGTAGCTAGTAGTTCTGCATCGCTGAGACACACTTGAAGTTCCTACTTCCTGTTTCGATGGCACTCGCATAGCCAAGCCCGCGTCTTTCCGCTCGTCCGAATTACACGACATTAGGGCGTCAGATGGCTCGATGATATGAAAGCACTCAATCGTTAAGTGGAGGCTTCTAAATTTCCCTCATGGATGCAACACTGCATCGGGAAGCCATTAGTGTCAAGTTGCAGACGATGACCCACTGTGGTCTTTGCCGGTTGAGGTTTGGGGTTAGGGGAATTCTTTGATGCCATTATCTCCAGGCGAACGACATTAGTGAAACACTTCAGGCCTCGTAAACTCGTTATCCGGATAGACGTTCTCGCCCATGGACATCGTGCCATCCTCATGAACAACCAAGTTGCCCTTTCCAATATCGACGGTACCTTCTTCGCCGTCTTCTTCGCACTCGTTTTGCGGCAAATAGTAGTAAGAATCCAGCTTCCGAATCCCCGGATACCAGTACCGCAACCAAGGCCTCATCTTGCGTTGACTTCCCACCGCGAAGTCTTCAAGCAACGCCGCAAAGTCGCGGTAGGGTATCATCTCGGCAACCCAAGCAGTCCACAGAACGACCCCCCACTCGAGCTTGCGAAAAGCGTCGACGCTGCCGTATACCTCTTCGACGACCCGGCGGAGCATGCCTTTCTCTCCCTCCGGCAGAGGGTCGTAAACCTCGAAGAAGGCTGCCTTGGCCTCGGCGACAAACTTCGGCTCAACCAACAAAACATACCCATCGTGGCTTGTGTCCTGACTTATCCTTACTGAGCGGCGAATCATGGGCCATTCGATGGCAGGATGAAGCCAGTGGTGGTCGGGCAGGAGCTCAAGCTGGATAGGGACAGGCCAGTAGGAGCTATCAGCGAGCCCAACATCGGCGATCGGGCACAAAAGCCGGATCAGCTGTGTCTCGTTCCACCAAATCGGACCCATGCCGTTCGTGGCGCGCAGGAAGGCTTTATACTGCTCCGGCAAAGGGGCCGTGAGCTCAAGCTTTTGTTCTAGGTCCGCGATTTCCGGATGAGACGGGACGGGACGCCGCAGCAGCGTCTCTGGCCTTGTGATCTTGTCCTCGTCCCTCTCCATCGCGCCCGCGTCGGCGGCGATTCTCTCCTCCGAGTTGTGCTCGGGCCAGTACGGCGCGTTTGCCCTCGTGTTTTCGTCGATTGCCCGCACAAGCTCTGCAACGGTGGCGCCCGCGTATGGTCGGGTCGGGCCGGTCTCGAGTCTTTTGGTGAGCATGTCGCAGCCTGTCTGGGTCACTCTGCGGATATGGTCGACATCGAGGTCGAGTTCTTTGACGAGGGTGTTGGTGGTGGCATTGTGCTCGAACCAGTCCCTCTGCCATAGCCGTCTCATGCAGCCGAGCATGGGCAACTGGTCCTGTGCATAATGGTTCTCGGCAATGGCCTTGCCCCACGAGTTGATATAGTTGAGATTGTACTGGTGCGCATCTTCTGGATATTTGATTTCCTTGCTCGAGGTATTTCTCCCTGCATCATTGTCATCATCCAGGAAAAACTCATCAACCACTTCATCTTCATCCTGTTTCTCCTCGTTGTCTTCTGGAATTTGCTCCCCTCCATCATTCTCTTGTCTGGTGTCTCCATGCCTTTGTCGATTTTGCGGAAAAGTGAGCCGCACGGCAAGATCAAGAGTCAGGGCGCGCCCCGTGGACTTGACAACCTGGTTCATCGACCACGGCGCCAGCATCCGCTCCCAGAGCAGCCAAAACTGTCTCAAGCGATGCGGAATTGGCCCATGGGGGTTCGCCCTATTCATACCCTTACTGCCCATTTCAGAAACAAGTTGAAGCGTCTCGTCGTCCTCGCGCCAGGTATGGCCGAACCTGTTGCAGACGCATAGACGCGCATACCGCTCCAGGGCATCCAGAGTGGTTTCTTCCCCATTTGGAATCATATCTGAGTCGCCAGTTTCCAGCGATTCGGGTCCCGGAGACGCCCACGCCGGCCAGGAGCCGGTTTTCTCCCAAGCGAATGCGAACACAGCTCGTGTGAATGGGTCCGGTCTTGTCGGGGGGACACTGACCGCGTACTTTTCTGTATCCCCCTTGGCAAGATAGCACGACTTGTCGTAGTCTTCGGAACGCTTTTCGGGGCCAAGTTCGTAGAGGTCGAACGGCGGGATCCCATGCGAATGGAGGACGTCCAGCAGACGTGTGCCTTCGGCGACCAAGCCCAGTACCGCCGGACTCACGGCTGTCTCGCGAACGCGCTCCACAACGAGGCACAGAAACCGCTCTTGTGCGATCTCAGTTGGGTCGACGAGGTGCCGTGTGAAGTAGTTGATCTTCTCCTCATCGTCAATATCAGTCCTCTCAGACATTTTGAGCCGCGTCAAGACACTAGCAAATGACAAAGGCGAATAGAATGACGTCAGCGGTTTTTTGGTGGACGATTTCCTGAAAAAAGATCCAGTGAATGCTGACCGACGTTCAGCTCGGGCAGCTGTGCGTTTGCGCAGCAGCCATTTGGTTGGCGCGCGCTTTCTTGAAGTTACAGCAAGGCCCGAGTTGAGAGAGACGAACTGCCGAAGCCTTCACTGCAAAGCCAATAGATATGTAAAATTTCGACTGGGTGTCATGACTCAACAGTGCCTTGAGGAATTGATATTCTTGTCCACTGAAACATTATCTTGTTGAAAGAGCTGCCTGTGTTGACGTCTCACAGGAATACATGGTCTCGACCAGCTCCCCCGCAAAGGACGGGAAAGCGGTCAAGTAACGGCTGCCTGGAGCCTTGCAACAGAATAAGAGAAAAAAAGCAACGGCCTTGAGAGAAGCGAAGGTGGGAGCCGATCTTGGCGCCTTTTTAGGAAATGAGCACCACCAAATACAGCTTAGCTACCATCAGCAGCCCCAGTTGCCAAGGGCCCCCGTAAGGCTGATTTTGGAAAGGTTGGCAACATTGACGCCATTCTCGGCCACTTTGGACTCCCGCGCGATGTTATTTCAGGGACTTCACGCTTGCAAAAGCCGCGGTTTATCGCATGGCCGAGCGGGCCTTGTCTGACATGCATTGCCAGCCCGCTCCGTGTTGCTATCATTGGCCACCGGGGCAAAGAGCTTGTTCGCTCTAGTGGAGTTGAAGGATTCAAGACTCTAAATTGTGGCGCAGGGGAGCTGGTTTCCCAATCCCTAATTCGGCGCCGGCATAGCGATCCTCTGCTTTGTGGCTGCCTAGCGCCCGCCAACTCACGGATGCTTCGCTCTCTTATTTGGGTGTCTCGTCCCTTTTCGAGTGAAACCTTTGATCTTTCTGTGTTCCTGGATTGGTACATCAGAGGCATCTGATCTTTTCATATTGCCGGTGCAGTGGTCGTAAATTGCCAATGATCATCGGACGGAGACACACTTGAGTCATCGAGGACACCTCAATAGTGAACGATGGATTCATCGCACGGGAGTTCCCCGGCCCCCAACTACAGCCAACCACACGATAGCGATGGCGCATACGTCGAGAATGGTCTGCATCCCGTCGAGCAGACCGACAAGATCGTCAACACTTCCCACTACGTCTCATACGACCAATACAAGCCGGTGCCTTTATCAGCGGACCAAGGCTATGTAGCTCCGATCGACGCATGTCGGCCCGCGAAGAAGAAGATATGCGGTATCAGCAGTGGTGTTTTCATCTTGCTGTGTCTGCTGGCCTTCTTCATTGCGATTCTGGTCGTGGTCGCCGGTGTGTTCGGCAGCATGCTCGCGAAACAATCCGCCGAGATTCTCGATCTGAAGAGCACATCACCAACAAAGTTTGTTTCACAGCTTACCCATAATACAGCAAGATAAGATGCACTAACATAACGGTACCCAGAACAAGCGACCCCGACGCGAACGGTTCATCGACCGCTACCGCCGCAGCGGCAACAACGACATGGGTCACGGTTACCGATTGGGATTTCATCGGTTGTTATGAGGACGGCGACGAGCGCGTGTTTTCCGGAAACATCAGCGTCATCCAAAACCAAACAAATAAGCTGTGCGCGTTGGCCTGCGATGGCTTTGACTACTTTGGGACTCAGTACGGAGACCAGTGTTACTGCTCGAAGACGCCACCTAAGACAGTTGCTCCGGCATGGAATTGCGATATGCATTGCGCCGGCGCACCAAACTCGGAAATCTGCGGCGGGTACTATTTTCTCAGCGCCTGGAAGAAGAAGAGTTCATGAGACCCCCAAAGCGCATCAGGATGGGCACTTTGAACATGGAGGAAGGCCAGGGGCCATGATCTGTGCCTGATGCGCTTCATCAGCATGGCCTGGAGTTCAGGATGTTTCTTTGTCATTTGGAATACCCATTGGATGAATAAGAATTATCAGAGAAATACAAACATCTCCAAGAGATATAGTTGCTGTGTCACAAGACGCCGTCGGCGATGTTCATAGCGGAGGGAATTGAGCAATGGGGGCGAGAGGTGGGCCGAGGATCTTGATCACAAACAACGGCATCACTTCCAACATCCAGCAATGGATACAAACAACCATGGCCGGTTGGCCCAATGGCAAGGCGTCTGACTACGATTCATCGTGAAATCAGGAGATTCTGGGTTCGACCCCCAGGTTGGTCATATTTTTGATCCTGTTGGCTATTTTTGGTGCGGGAAGAGTTTGTTGCGTGCGGGTCCGACCAAAATGGGTCCCGGGGCCAGAGCATTAGTCCTTAGTCGGTCCTCCGGCCCGGGATAGCTGGCTTTTTACATGTTGCCGAATTGCTTTTCTGCGAAAAGGCGCAAGTTCTCGTTGGAGGCGCTGGGATCTTGGCGCAGGCTTTTCTGACAGGGTTACCCAGATATCTGGTCCGTGGTTTCTTCAGCATAGCAGGCGTATTCCGACGAGAGCAATCTTATTGCACTTACATCCCTCTGGTTCGTAGTGATATGATGCCCCTCGGTCATTCGTAACACGATTGATTTATAAACTTCCCAGATTTCATAAAGCCTCCTTCATGACTTTAATCTCACGGCAATGATCGCCTCAAGCATTGATTACACGCCGAAAAACATGAGATGAACACTTTCAAGAGATCCGGCATCATCGGCTCCGAGGAGCCACATGTTCGGCGTGGTGCAACCCGAAAAAATTTCACCGAAAAGGTACGTACCGAACGACTCCAGCACAACTCCAGGCAGCCGGATTTCACTTCAGCTCAGTCGCCAACAACTCACCCAGGCGAGGAGCCATGTCCTCCACTCCTCCGCCGCCCCCCTCGGCGTCGATCTGTGCGGCCCTCACTCTTATTATCACAACATCACCGACGCCATCTGCCCCTTCGACAGAACTTCTCGGTACCGTCTTTCAGTCTGTTCGCCAACACTGCGAGGACCTCCTGTCTTGTCGCATCATCGTTGTGTTCGATACATACGACCGCATTGGCCCAGTATCCAGACTGAAGAAGGGCGTGGTGACGGAAGAGGGCGCAAAGCAGTATGATGCCTACAAGAAGAATGTCAAGACCCTCGTTCTTGGAGCCTACGGACACTCGTCGGATGAAGAGCTGGCGCAGGAGCAAGGGGAGGCGGAGTACGGATTCGACGGGAGAGCAGCTCTGAACCTCACACCATTCACAGTCAAGAGCACAAAAGATGACAAGGTCGCATTTGTCGAACCCGCAGAGAGACTCGGCTTCGGCCTTGCTGTGCGAACAGCCCTCAGGATCACCACTACGCCGTACGTCTGGGTTCACCAACATGACTGGACGCTGGTGGCAGACATCCCGGTCGCGCCGATGTTGGACGTCATGAAGGCTACTGACGAGGACGAGGAGGCGCCGGTGAAGTACATCTGCCTCGCCTCAGTGCGAATGCTGGAGTACGCCAACTCAGCCCATGCCCATGACTACCCCGCTCTGAGAGCGTTGACGAAGAAGCTCAAGCGGGACTTCACCCACCCGTCACATCAAAATTGCACCGTGCCGCTGACACCAATGTTCTTTTGGCATGATAAGCCACATATCGCATCCACCAAGCATTATCTCTCCCGGGTATTTCCAACGAGACTGGCGATTCCGAAGGGCGCGTTCATCGAAGATGTTATCGGGCAGCGTGCAAGAACACAGATGAAAGAGCAGAGCATGTGGGCCAAATGGGCTTGCTGGCTGTATTACCCCGATGAAGGGAAGCAACTGTGTTTGAAACATTTAGATGGAAGGAGATGGAGAGGTTTGGAGGCCGAGAAGGTTCAGGGAGCGAGGTGGAGAGAAATTAGAGGTGTGAAAGAAGACAAACAAGAATGATTGTCAACAATGGTTTTCCATGATACCCAGTGAGCTCACGGATCGGGTTATCCCGGCTGGATTCTGGCCTGATGGATCCCTGCAGCCTCATTAGCGTCCTAATGAATGAAGGTTGTCTCCCACGTCTCTGTCGAGGAGTTGCGGTCCTGCAACAGTTTGGCAAGTGCCATCGTCCAATCGGGCTACGAAGCTCAGAAAGAAGCTGGCATCGGCATCTTAGCTTTCTTCAATCTATCAATCGAGGTATACTTGGGACAATCGCGGGAAATCGGGCAATCCTGCCCTCAGATTTGAGGTCCAACTAGGCCGTGTGGAAGACTTCGCGGTCAGTGGCGGGCTTCCGCTTGATCTAGCCATTATTTTGACTACAAAAGCCCCCTCAAGAGCGGGCGTGCCAAGACATTTAGGCGGCCAGAATGTGTTGAAACAACCACCCAGCTGGGCACCTATCTAGCCGGGCGCGATGAAAGCCCATTTGTCGGTTCAGAGATCACGAGTTTCCTTAAAGAGACTCTAAAGTGGCGGCAACTTACCTATGCACGCACAGAGAAGCGGGGGAGCCAGTATCCTAAGGTAGTGCAATCCTACTTAATCATGGTGGCAACCTTAACAGTTACAACGCTTATGTCAGGTTCTACGATTTCTGACTACGAGCCCTGGATAGGCCTGGATAGGTCATAATCCATCAAGACCTTCTTAATCGAGCATGGCCTCGCGTCGCTGCGGCTGAGATACTGACAAAAGTACCCAATCCTTCAGCCATCTCACAGAGTTGTATGCCAATCAAGGCTGACTTGCAGTGCTTCAAGTCTTGGATTATCCAATGAAGACTCGCCCTGAAATCTCGGGCAATATAGAACCATACTTCTGGTGCATCGTAAGTCTTGAAGAGGAAGCTCGCGGTGTCGCCTCAGACGGCCAAGCAACGGCTAAGTCTCTGCTTGGTGCCAATATCCAGCAATGGGCAGCAGTTAATTTGACCGTAGGGGAACAAGGGGCCCGTCAGAAACAAACATAAATAATAGCCCGCTCTTGTTGCCATTTCTCCAGATAATCACAACATAACCGGCCACACAAATCACCTCCAAAAAGCAATCGAAATCACCTCGAAGACGGCATCATGAAGTTTTCCATCCTCACGCTCGTGGCAGCTCTCGCCTTCGCCACCGCTGCTCCCGGCGAACTCGTTGCTAGACAGTGCTCTTGCCACAAGGTCGGCAACGAATGGATCTGCAGCGGACGGCTATGCCCAAAGGACTTTGTCCCCGAACCGGCCATGGTCAAGAGAGATGGCGAACTCGTAGCTCGGCAGTGTTCCTGCAAGAAGGTTGGCAATGAATGGATTTGCAGTGGACGACTTTGCCCATGAGGCATCATACAATGTGAGTTTGGCCGCCCTGAAAAAGCGAAGAAATTTGCCGGTCTATTCCTCTAGTACTATGGCTAACCCTTACATTAGAAGACTCTATCAACAGGGCTGCCATGACAGATGGGAACAATAGCAAGCTTTCAATTAGGGTTGGAACTTAAGATTATGCCTCAATTAAATGGCAGCAATTGATTCTAAACTCTTTGAAGCATTTAGCGTGAGATATGGTGCATCTTTAACGATTGAAGTCTATAGTCATACGATAGTATAAGGCAGGCAGCCCTTCTTAAATTAGGCATGATAAAATGGAGCAGCATCAACGCGTGCTCTCATGAGGGCGTTAGGTGAAGTCATATCGCGGGCTACAAATCTGCGGAGCAAGACCTATCTTTGAAATTGTTTCAAGTTTAATCATTTTTCTTATAACGCTAAACACTCGTAAATGAAAGAACCTTTGATGCAAAATCGCTCCCCTTCAGTGGTGCTGGAGGTAACATCGCACAAAGAAGGCTATGTGGCCAAGCTTGCTGCGAGGCTGTGTGCAAACTTTCACAACAGACTTCCGATCTGTTGCTTGGGGTTTAAGCAAATCAGCGGGGCGATACTTACGGAACAGTATAATGTCTGCCGTATTGCCTGTGTACCAAGATACGTATGTTATCAACCACGATGATACTAGTAACGATAATCATACTGACGATAACGACGACTACGACGACGACGATAACAACGCCAGTAGTAATAGCGACGGTAGTAGTAACAACGGCGACGATAGTAGAGCGGTGTAAGGCGTTATATAACCACGGGAAAAGTAGTCGCTCTAGCACAGGAAAAACAGGCGGTCTCCTCCATCTAGAATTGTGGATTACAGGCGGACTGGTGACCTCGTACAGGACTCCGAGAATCACAAGGGCCGCTTAGGAAAGCCAGATGAGCATCTGAAACCCAATGATACAATGATGCTTTTTACCTGAACATGAGCAGTCATCTCGTTCAATAGTTGAACGAGGAATTGTTTTGTCTCAGATAAGACTCGCCTCAATGACACCATCGCACCAACACATGAACCCTGCATCGGCGGAAAACTGTCCACGCTGCGCGGGTTCATCCGACCGGCCAAAGCGGACGTCACAACCACCGGTCACCGACGCCAGACCCCCACGGTTCTGCCACGGCAAGGATGCCGGAATCCACAATCTGGACCTGCAGTAGTGGAACTGGGTTATGTGAGGTGAAAGCGATTGCCGAATCGGCACTTGGGCGGACTCGCGTGGCGGGGCGCCCCAAGTCTATGACGGCGTTCTCGTTTCACCGCACCGGTGTTTTGGCGGTCGGTCCAGCTAGTCGGCGCGGACAATTGGCAACTTTAAGTTGTCCGAAGATTTGCAGTTGTCCGGAGCTTGGCCACGGAGATACGACACCGTCAGCGTCATGAAAATGAGATGACTGTGGTAATAAATCTTTACAAAAGTGATGAGAATCTCACTGTTGATAAAGGCGCAGGAGACGACTGCTTAAGTTTGCACTAGTATTGACCGACAAATAACGCACATAAAGCTTCAACATGGCATCGGACACAAATTCTTCCAAAAGAACCCTGGCCATTTTCGGCGCAACCGGCCGCACGGGCAGCGAATCCCTGAAGGCCCTCCTCGCGAACCCCTCCAACCCGTTCGACCTCAAAGTCTATGTGCGCTCCAAGGATAAGCTGGTTTCCATGTTTCCTTCCTTCAAGACGGAGCACAGCGTAAAAATAGTCGAAGGCCAAGTCACCGACGTCTCTCGCGTGAAGGGATTTCTAGACGGCGCCGACACGATCATTTGCGCTCTCGGCGAGAATGAAAACAGGCCTGGCATCCGCGTGCTCACCGATGCGTCGCGCACTATCGTCACCGCACTCAAGCAGCTGAAGGACGGGTCTGGTTCATCAGCATGGAAGAAGCCGCGCGTGTTGCTGCTATCGTCAGCGACGTGGAACGAGCGCTTCGAGGCGCAACAGCCGGCGTTGATCAGCTGGCTCGTCAAGAACGCGTTCTACTACCCCTACCAGGATCTTCTCAACGCGCACAGGACGTTCAAAGAGGCAGAGAAGGAAGACGCACTGTCATTGTTGTTGGTACAACCGCCAGCCATCATCGAAGAGGACGGAAGTGGGCATCAGATCGGCGTCGAGTCGATCGGCATGGCAGTCTCGTATGCCGACCTTGGCGCGGGCTTTGCGGAGCTGGCCACCGAAGACCGGTACCGAGAACTCAAGGCAATCGGGGTATGGTCGGAAATGTCAAAAGAGGGATTTCGCAGGTACGGTCCAGAGGTCTTGTCACGTATGGTGGTAGGATTGCTTGCGAGCTTTTTGCCTGGATTCTTATTCATCAAAGCGCTGTTCAACAAGGTGTTTGGCTAGGGAAATATGCGGACAAGTGAGTTTAAATCAGCCTGTCACTGGCTTTCGTTTCCATTTTCGATGCTATTGTTATGTACATATGCTCTAGTGTATAAGACATGAAACGACCATTTTTGTTACTGGATATACCTAGGTACGTCTAGACACGCTGCACAGCCAGAGCTCCCTTGAAGATTGAGTGAACAAGACTCGGCTTCGGCCCGGTGCGCCGCGATGTACTAAGGGAGAGGGCATCATTGTTGCGCAGAGCGTCAGCTCGCTCATGCTCGGGTAGATCTAGGCTTTCGAGTTCACGGATCTTCCATACGCGGAGAGACCAGACTTTGCTAGAGTTAGCAATGAAAGCCTACCTAATGCTCAGAGTGGTTTACAACTTACGTGAGATAAAGGCGGCAATGTACATGAAACCAACAAAGATCTCGACCCCGAGGTAAGCATCGACGCCTGAGCCCTTGATGGTAAGAGCGATAGGCTCTGCAAAGGTGGCTGGGAGGACAAGAATCATCCAAAAGATGGACAGTGCTGAGAACCAAAATGTCAGTTTTGCTAGCCGCAGAAGATGTCATGCGTTGGCTGCTTACCGGAAGGCAGGAGCTGTATTCCCACCACTTCGGCACCGACAGGGGTGACCGTCGCCCAGATGCATCCAGCGAAGGCACCGAAGAGTGCGTAAACGATGGTGCCTGCGAAATACCTCCCGGCGAAGATCCAGACGAACAGAGTCGCTAGCCCGGCGACAAGGGTGCCCAAGCCAGCAACGTTGATGCGCCCGACGCGATCGCTAATGAGGCCGATGACGGGGCGACCGATGCCTTGTGACACTGCTTTGCGTTAGTATCATTGCCGGGATGTTGTACTCATACTTGACTTACGTTGGAACATGGCCGAGGCGATCGATCCTTGGCTCGCAGTAAACCCGACCGTCTCAGCGAAGTCGGCCAAAGAAAAGACGACAATGACGTATGCGAAAAGGGAGAAGAAACCCCAAGACATGAAGAGCCAGAACTCAGTCCTCTTAAACAGGTCTTTGTGGAATGCGGCATGGACACTTCCGAGAGCCTTGTTGCGGTCCCGCATCAGAACGCAGCATATGCCATTGACAACAAAAGACAGAATGGCGAGGATGCGGAACGCCCATGGCAGACCGATGTTGTGGATCATGGCAGTTGACGACAGGGAGTAAATCAACCCGCCGAGGCCCGAGCCGGCACTACCGATAGCTGACGCGAATGAACGGCGAACGATGAACCATTGTGGGATGACGCCGACGGTCGCATTGAAGGTGAATCCCATACCGACGCCGAAGCCGATGCCTTGCGACAACAGGAGATGCCATATTTGCGTCGTGAAGGATGCGCCGATGAGGGCGGCGCTGAGGTCAAGTCAGAGTTGGTGAAGGATAGTGAGGATACAGAGCACTTACGATTGAACTGTAACACCGATCGCGACCGTCGGTCTCGTTCCGATTCGTGGGATGAACCAGGTCACAATGGGGGCGACGAGAAGGGCTGTGGGCCGGATGTCAGTAAGCGGCTCGGCGCGGACGCGGGGTCGGTGTGAGATTCGACTCACCGACGGAGAAGGACAGGCCGCCGACGAAGGCCAGAGTGATCGGGCTGGCGCCAGGGAAGGCCCCCGAATTGAGATAATAGGCGAGGAAGACCGCATATGACTGTGGCTTGTTAGCTATATGAGAGTCGCGTCATCTGGCGGGCGCCAAACTGACTGAGTTCAGACCCCAAGTGTGTGCATTGATGAGAAAGACGCAGGCGACTACGACCCTATTTTTATGTCAGCGTCATTCATTCAGAGAGCGCTGCGGTGTTGAGACTTACCATCCATAGCCGCCTTCTTTGAATTCTACCTCTTCGCTTGTGCGCGGGCTGCTGGTCTGGCTCGGCGAAGTGTCATTTCGCTTCTCACTCTCCGCTGCCCTGGAAACGCTGTCAGGCATCTGCACCACGCCGCCGTGGTCGTTGTCCTGATTACTTGGGGGTTCAGATCGAGAAGGCATACCGGGCAGCGACAAACAACCAGACCGCTCGTTGTCAAAACGCTCTCTTCTCTCTAGCAGAGGAAATGCGACGGGCAAGTTGTGGGAGGCGGACAGCAGGGCCGCGTCGATTGACTCAGGACGTCAGGGTGTTGGTGACAAAGCAAAATGGACTGAGAATTCGGCACGAGGTCGGACTCGGCAAGCCGTATACAGTAGTTGAGTAACCGTATACAGTAGGCATTCGCGGGGGATCAATTTTGACGAAGCGAGTTTTCGACGCCAGTTCCCGACCCGAGGCGCGTTTTGGATTTTTTGTTTGCGCCGGGAATAGTGTGGAGACAACTCGGCGCGGTGTCTAGAGAAAAAGGCGAGATTGACGGTGATGGGGGATGCGACTGTGGGCTAGACCGGATACAGATGCCGCGGATCGATGTGTAATGGATTCTTCTCATTGGTCTTGTCGAGTTTCCCCTTCATGCTGGGCAACCTGGACGGCTCCGGTGGTCTGGACCGGAGGGTTTCTGCTTTTATCCGTCAAGCACCCCTGAACAAACACGCGGAACACGCCCTGCGGATGTCATATGACGAGCCCTCTTCGTTCTATGGCCGCATTTATCCAGCATTTGCAGGACATCATATGCTACCATTCTGCGGATTGTTTGCGCAACGCCAAGCGGCTCTGTGCTGTTAGCTTCGGAGACCAACGCCGAATAGACGCGACTTCGCGACTGTGACGGTAATTTCCCTGTCTTTCCGGCCGGTTTCGGCGGCTATGGACCGGAGGCGGCCCGGTTCCTGGTCTGTGCTATCATAGACTCTGAAGAAACTCGGGGCATTTTCCGCTTCGGCGATAAGATACACTTCGGACATAGCGTGGTCGCTCTATGTTCCCATTACTTTTGCGGTAGGAGAGACTGAATGAGTAATGAGTAAGGAGTGAGAGTTTCTCAAGACTTGGTATTTTCTATCTTTTGAAAGTTCGGAAGAGAAAGCCAGCCAGTACGGGATAGGTTGAGTCTTCGAGAGGCCTGTCTTGCTCGCCAATGCAAGCCTGCGTGTGTTCCAATGAGCGTCTGTAAGCATGTTCCTAGATCAACGGAGAGTAGTTCCAAGAAAAGCAACTCCCGAATAAAACCCAATGACATCGAATCAATATCTTTGTCCATCAATGTAAATATTCGAGGACAACACTGTCGAGCCTAGCCACGCTGGCGACCCTCCCGTAGAGAAATTCAAAAGTGACTTGGACGTGGTTATTCTGAGGGGTGTAGTCCACGGTGACTTCCTTCCAAACTCCCCATCCAGGGGCGTCCCGTGCATCGATTGTCCTCTTGGGCTGTCCATCGATCATGACCCCGATAAAGCCAGCGTCCATATTGTCGAACCAGACCCAGAAGCTCAGTCTGCAAGGGACGTTTCTCTGCACGGAAACCCGCGGGCTTTTGATCCTGGTACTGGTGACGGGTTCTTGGAGAGGCCTGTCTGCTAGTAGCTTCGATTCAAATGAAGTTGTTCCAGAGTGGGCCGACGCTGAGGTGAGACCAGCCTTTACATTTGGGTCAAGAACCTCGATCGTCCACGGGGCAATGCCGCACTCAAAGTCGCCGTTGGTCAACAGACCGCCGTAGGCCGTACAGGGAGTCGACGTCGGCGTCGGAACGGGACATGTGGGGCCGCATGCACAGGCAGAGATGTAACGAGCGGGGGCCGTGCCGCAAGCTGACGTCGCGCGAGTCGGGAAGTTGGTGGCAGTGATTCCGTTGGCTGTTATTGTGGCACAGAATGCCGAGGCAGAAGAAACTGCTGTCGGAGATGGACAAGGGAACAAAGCTCGATAGCAACTTCAAATGAGAAACTTTATCAGTAATCAATCGAATAACCGGACATTTCACTTACTTGTCGGCATTGCACTTGGCCAATGTGGTCGCAGCTCTGCAACCCAAAGTGAGGACGCTCAGAGCGATGGACACAGATCGTGAGACGTACATGGCAGCCCCAAAAAGGTTGACAGTTGACTAATTTATTGAGGACAAGGATAAGCTATAGTTAAGCACATGAGAAAAATGAAGATAAATATCTTCGTTTATATACTTTGATGCCTCTCCGGTGATTCAAGTTCGCCTTGGGCAAGTTGGTTCCAATTGCCTGGTATATCTAACCGATGGAACCTCAAAAGTAAGATGGCGACTGATCTCTCCGAACACGAGTTCAGCTCTCAGTAAGGGGTGTGCCTCAGTCGGGTGGCTGCATCTCAGCCGTTGTTACCTGGCGAATAGGAAACAAGACTTCGGCAGTAGTTTGAAGCCACTCTGTTGCACGCGATCCGGGGCGAGTCGGAGTGTGTAGGGGTGAGAAATCATCGTCTGGTTCTTACTTTACTTGTATGTCGCAGGAAGAAAGGGACTGTTCTGATCAGAGACACATGAGCAGTTGGTCATCGTGGCGTTCATGTCCTTCCCGGAACCGATGGTCGAAAGCACGACAGAACATTGCCACCGAAGTTACGTGAGACTCAGTGAACGATGAACAAACCAAGAATTATGGATTGTACCTAGCATTCATGATGCAAAGTCTTTCACACATTTTTGCCAATTGTGAGCTACCCGTACACAGGTCAGCCAGGTTTGTATGAAGTCAAAACTCAGCTGCACCTTTTGGTCCTAACATCCAACCCATCAAGTGGATTCTGGAAAAATCTCAGAAAAAGTACAAAAGCCACGACCCGTCTGGTTTTCCCCAACAGCGAACGTCCCTTCAGAAGCTGGATCTTATCAAGGATGACATTGCCAGCAGCCACTGGTTCGGTTCTCTTCACTGGGGATGCATACGATGCTGGGATTTCTCGCAAGATTATCACTTATGAGAAGCATATCTGTGGCCAAGTGAGAGGAATGAAACGCTCCGGCCTCACCGGAAAGGAGAGGAAGTCGTGAGTTATCTGGCTCCTTCTGTCGCCATGTTTCGAGGAATCGTGGGTGGTTCCACTCCCCAGAACAAATCACTGAAGGACCGAGGTTGGCAACTTGCTTTTGGCTGCACGAAGTGCTTCCAATGAAAGGCCATCAAATATCTTGAGCTTCCAGCCAGAAAACGGTGATGAAAAATAGGCCTTGAGAGCGGCTCCCCTTGAGGGTTTGCGTTAGACTCCAGACCATGATTCTGAGTTTTTGAGGATTGCTTGGACTGTCGACCGACCTTCAGGAATCAAAGAAATTGCCAACGGCATGAGCAATCATAACGCATGCGTGGCCAAGGTAAGCATTTCCATAGCTGCAGACCTTGTGAAGCCATCTCCGCGTGAGTTTCGTGGAGACACCATTGACCTAGATACAACTATGAGATGCAGATGCATGGCATAGAAGCCGTCTGTAAATGCTTTTTTGCGGAAGCGAGTCATCGTAAGTACAGGAATATGACCCTTGTTAACAAACGCTACTTCGCCGATCCTGCGACACGGGACCACACCGCCTCTCACCGAATCAGCTTCCAGCACACCATGCGGTTTCATCACACTGCATACGCACCGAACAAACAACCGGTTGGGGTCCATCCATCATCAACAAGCAAGTGGACCAAGCATGCGTCGCTTGCTAGACGCAGTTCGAGGTGGGAAGAAGCGGCGCAGCGACCAGGAAATCGACTATTCGGAGCTGCCACCACCACCTCTTCCTCTTCTTCCTGCTCAGCGGCCCCGGCCCATCACGCCTCCTGCGACCGCTACCGCCGCTACTGCAGATACCGTCGTCGCCGCGCTCGGCACTTTCGCCCTCCTGTCGCCGGAGCTACGCCGGCGCGTGCTCGTGGCCGCCTTTGGCGAGCATACACTACACCTAGACTTGCGGCCGGCCCCGCGCGGGCAACAGCCGAGCCCCCCGACGGCCCCCGGAGCCGCGCACGAGCACGGCCGCGGGGCCGCGCCCCTCAGCTGGTCCCGCATTGTCGTGCCCCCAGCCGTCGCGGGCGAGACGCCGGCAACGACCGCCTCGTCGTTGTCTGAGGGCTACAAAACCAGGAAGAAGACGGGGCCGGAGTGGGAGTGGGAGTGGCGCTGGTACGGCTGTGTGTGTCACCGTGTGATCCCCCGCTGGTCGCCCGTGGACCGCCTCATTAGAGCCTGCGGCCGCGATCCATACGTCTGGCCGCACCGTGACGGCTGCCTCGAGGGTGACGCCATGTTGTGCGAGCTGTGGCCGCGAGGGCCCGCCGTAGACGGCATGGCGTTCCCAGAAAGGGGCACCTGCGACTGCGCGGTCGGTGCCTTGGGCTGGCTGCGCGCATGCCGGCAGGCCTACGTCGAGGGCGTCGAGGTGCTCTACGCGACCACCACGTTCTTCATCCAAAGCCGGGACCTGCTGGAGGCGCTGCTCTGCCCCCCGAACGACGGCCGACGCCTGTTCCTCCCGCACCGCCTGGCCCAGATACGGTCGCTTGAGCTGCGGTGCGAGTTCCTGCTCTTTGGGGACTTCACTCTGCCGTTCATTGCGCGTGCCAGCGACAAGGAAAGAATGCGGCTGCTCCCGGACCTAGCCGACCTGGCGGTCCCTTTCCCGAACCTGCGATCTCTCGTCGTCACCTTTCCAAACATTCTCGACAATCAACGGCACGCGGATCCGGACGCTCGCCTGCCCGAGATCGACCGCTTGCTGCTACGGCCGCTTGCCCTCGCGTTTGCGCACCTCGCGCCGCAGCAAGAAAAGCACATTGTGGTGGAGCTGCCGTCGAACGTGTTTCGCGACATCAGAGGCATCGGCCACAGAAAAGGCCTCGGCCTCGAACAGGAGCAGCGAGGAGACGAGTGGGGCGATGGTAGGGGCCTTTGGCTAAGGTATGCCATCGATGGCTCGCTTTACTACTATATCAAGGAAGGACAGGAGAGTGAAATCTATCGGCCGTGAGTTCGGGTCATTAAAGTAGACCCTGCAGCGTGGGCTTCGGCACGGCGAAATCGGGCGGGTCCGTCGACGTGGTGTACGCCTACATGTTCTACGTAACCATTCTCAACAGAAAGGCAGTACAGGTACCAGAGCGGTTGTTTCTACCTAATTTAGTACCCTGGATAACAACACTTATGCGAAAATTCAGCGATTCGTCAATCAAAAACACTGAATACGATTATGCTGTCATTGAGCACCTGTCGGCTTCTGTGGTGCTCATCTCGTGATACCCCCCTGGTGCAACTGTTACCTACATCTAGAATGTTTCTCCCGACGCCCGGTACATGCTGCCATCCGCTCCTTTCTTAGTGCCATCTTCGTATTGTTTTCCGCGTAAAGATGTTGCAACTGGCGATCCAACCCCAAACTTGATTCCGGGGATGCGGGGTATGACCCCTGCCCGCATCAGAGGTCCAGTCTGATTGCGTTAGACCAATGGTAAGATGTAGGACACCGGGATTTCCATAACCAATTCTTCGATCACCTTCAAATTCATTGACAGGTGCTTTCGATTACCCCTTATGTCTATTCTCTCTGTTCAGGCATTTGAAGCGCTTGTCGTACGAGCTGTCAGGATGGGACATATAAATTACTCCTATCACAACGATAGTTGTAGATTTCAAGGCAGCAGCCAGGATTCATTGTCAATATAGACAACATGAAGATGGCTCGTTTTCAGCTCTTTTACCTCGCACTCATCCCACTCATCTCTGGATATGCTCGATCTCAAGAGATTACCGCCAATGACTTGACAAAGTTGCCTCAGTTTCCCCACAAGCCGAGGACGTTCATTCTGACGGATATCCTCAATGAGCCCGACGACCAAATGTCAATGGTACGCTATCTGACATACTCAAATGAGTTCGATACCAAGGGACTTGTTGCTACAACCTCCATCAGCTTGCCAAACGAAACGCACCCAGAGGCTATCGAGCTTATTATAAGAGCCTATGGTGAAGTTGTTCACAATCTGAACAAGCATGTGCACCCCAACGAAACGTTCAGTCCTGCCGAAGATCTTTTGAAACTCGTGAGATCAGGCCCAGTGGTAAGTGACTTTCTCCCTTCCTGGTGGCTATGAATGGCTTCTGATCAATCATTTTCCCCAGGTTTACGGGCGACAAGCTCTCAACGAGTCGCTAAGCGACGGTGCCAAATTGCTGGTCGAAACGCTTGAGGCGGGTTCAGATCCGTTATTCGTCTCCATTTGGGGCGGAGCCAACACCCTGGCGCAGGCGCTGCAGTTCATCAGCACAGAGTGAACCCCCAATGAAGCGGCCGAGCTTCGGTCTAGGCTCCGCGTCTACTCAATCTCGGATCAGGACGATGCTGGGCCGTGGATCCGGGTCAAATGGCCAGATATAACTTATATCGTCAATGTTCACGGCTTCAGAGAATACGAATCGTCCACGTGGGCCGGCATAGGCAGCGCAGACAACGGTGCTGCTAACGTGACGAAAGTACAAGACGATTGGCTGACGCCGAATATCCGGATCGGTCCTCTGGGTGAGGTGTATCCCAAGGTTCTCTATGGAATGGAGGGAGACTCGCCCAGCTTCATGCGGCTTATCCAAAACGGCCTTAATAGTGCTAGGCATCCGGACTGGGGTAGCTGGGGTGGCCGGTACACCCGAGTTACGGAGGCCGAAGACATCAACGAATACGGAACATCCATGGACACGGCCGTTTCTGTGACAGGCGTGGATCACCAGAGCCAGTATGCCACTGTTTGGCGATGGCGCGACGCCTACCAAGACGACTTTGCGGCACGAATGCAGTGGAGCGTTACGGACAAATTCGAAGACGCAACTCATCCACCCAATATCAATATCAACGGCTCCATTAGTCTCGATGCCATGGAGATAATTGTCCCGTACAAAGGTTCTGTTGTGCTGGATGCCAGCAAGACCTACGATTCTGATCACCCAGAAGACTCGACTCACCTCGAGTTCGAAAGGTATGCTTACACCACAGCCTCTATTGCTTGGGCCAGTGCATATCTCGAGGGACTCATTGAGATACGTCCGCTTTCACCGCCAACCGGTACAGATGGGTATCTTGAGGTTAATAATGCGGGATTCAGGAACGTCACGATTGGTCCGAGGGTCCAGATCGTGAACAATGTGCCGGGCATCTCGCAACTTGAGGGAAGATCTTGGCATGTTGTACTCCAGGTGAACAACAACAAGGGTCAGCATCCGGTCCGTAGGTACAAGCGAATCTTAATTAAGGATTTTGAGGGGTAAGAATGATTAGAGAAACTAAACCTCTCCCTGCGGTGGTCTGTAGTCTAACAATTCACCTTCGACTCTGGGACTTTGAAAGTCGGAGGAAGTCATATAGCTGCTGTCATATCTTTCAAATAGCAACATCATCGGGAAACATGAAAACATGCCAGAGCTCCCGCCTTACCGTCCTAACCTGAGAGTGTTGAAAGACCGGTAGATTCGTTCCTCCTGCAGGGGAGTGAACTCCGAGAGACTAACAAAACGTCAGCGAGCCCCATCGTGCTGGACTCAAATAATTCAAACCTACCAGTCATGCTTGGAGTAATCCATGTAATTGTGAATGGGGTCGAGTCCAGGTTGATCCGGGCAGGAATCTTGCTCAACAGGACACCCAACCGTCGCAACCTGAGTCGCCGGGGTGTCGTCAATGTAGTCACCCTCGCCGTTGCAGTCGAAACCATCGAAAACATGGAAGAGCCCAAACCAGTGCCCCACCTCGTGCGTTGCCGTTTTTCCCTTGTTGTCTTCCGGATCCCAAGGCACGCTCGGCCCCCCGGGCATAGTGCCGACACTCACATGGCAGCCGTCGTAAGTGTACCACGAAGTCCCGTTGATTCCGGTGTTCCAGGGATCTTCCACCGGAAAGCTGCAAATTCCCGTCGCGGAACCGGCATTTGTCATCATGCCTGGTCGTTGATCATCTTGTCTGTGACGAACCCTGCGTGCGCCTCATCCTCAACCACGTGAAGATACGTCGGGATCAGCAAGCCCTCGGCCCTCTTACCGAGGAAGCTGCTGGAAAGCCCTCTGCTCGATGTGCTGAACGGAGAGAAGATGCAGCTTGGACTGTTTCTGGTTCGGGGAAATTAGAGCCGCATTTTTCTTGGGCAGTGACGCGTGCAATGTTTGCTAAGGCAATCGAGTCGCCGAAAAGTGTCTTCAGCTTCATGATGTCCGCTGTCAGGAAATCAATGATTTTCTGAGTGCCGGATTTGCGACGAATTAGTCGAGCGCGGCATGTCCTTTTACATAACGTTGATCTACAGCAGTGATGATCCAAATAGGAAGGTGTCTGCCGTGATGGGTTCATCACGCCAAGAAGCTCGTATTGCCAGATTGCTACCTTGCCGCCAAGGAATCTGTCTCCTTTGCCGAGAGACTTGGGTTGACTGTACGGATTAATGTGACCAAGTTTCGGCTTTGCTATTTCCAGGTTTTGGCCTTGTACGATGTCGCGATCCAGACCCCATGTGGCAGAGGTGATTTGCTGGTCAAGACCGACTACCGCAAGGGTGCTCCCGGAAACGTATCGCCCCACGATGTTTAATTCAACCACACGCCTTCAATAGAATAGTCATTCTGGCGTCACTCTCGAAACTAAGGATCAGATTATTCCATGGATCATCTGTATTGTGTGCCATTGCTCTGGCTTCTTGTTGTCGCATAGCCCTCTTGAGTGTCTAGGTAGAGATACTCAGACGGTAAACAGCTATAACGCACCAAAGACAAATGCGACCAAGAATGAACAAATCAACAGCCTGTATGATTTGCCGGAAGTAGTAAAACTACCTACTGATGCAAGTAGTTGCAGAGTATTAGCCATGGCCGACCCGAATATCTACTTGACCCTGGAACTTAGAACATGAGGCTCGAGAGCAGCCAAAAGTCAATGCGCCCTTGGTAGGATTGAGTGATGGCTTATCTTGAAGCAGTTATTCAAGCACTTAAGCATGGATTTTCGTCCGTCGGGGTGCATTCTGTTGGAAGACATACGTAGCATTAGTGATGCGGTATCAGGTTAGCGTGAAAGGAAAGCCACCTGATGTGCAAGCATTGGGTGCGAGGTCCAGTGTAGACAACGGGGAAGGTGCCCTCAAGTATTGTTCGTGACTCAAATTTGTCACTGTTCCTATCGGATTTGCCTTGGTCTCCGAGTGGTTATAGGAGTTAACTCCTTTATTGCTCGCCTGCCGAGGATCACAAGTTCGGAGCCCCAGTAATTATTTTTGCTTTTCAATATTTTGCCTAACTACCTTAGGCATCTCACAGGGTTTTAATATAGCAACTCTAAGTCTAAAACGAGTGAGTTGACTTTCTTAACGTGCTCAAACTTGCAGAGAAAGGTTTCTGCGTCTCAACATTGCTCGGCACCGGCAGAAGGGATGCAAGGTCTCTATTCATGCCGCAAATCATAACTTAATTAAGGAAGGAGCCGCTTGCCGCCCACGTCTTCCCACATTCAGCGCGACTGCCAAACAGCGGGCAACTTTTGAACTCGCCCACTTCCTGTGCCTCACCTCACAACTTCCTGAAATTTCCTCGACCTCTCCTGCAGTCTCACCCGGGCTCAACAACAACCAGAATTACGCCGACGACAAGGGAAACACCCAGCTGCAAAAACCGCACCTCACAACATCTCTCATGGTAGCCGCATCCTCCGTAGTTCATCTTATCTTTCTGCTAATATTATCTAGATGACTGGACGAAGACATTGTCGGGATCCCAACCGCGACCGAGTTCAACACGAACCGGAGGACGAGAAATTACGGCAGCAAAACCGCGAGAGAATCCAAGATAATCTTCACCTGCCTGGATTTACTCTCCCCAAAGACGTCTTCGGCATCAACCACAAGCATTGGTGGAAGCCTCTTGTGGCCAACCCTCACAGCGTTGGATATGGCTATGGAATATTTCACCTTAAGAAAGCCAGTCGCGTGGAAGTAGCAGAGCGCCTGAGCGAGGTTTACGAAGCTGCACTTGCCGAACTTCGTTTCAAGGGCTCTCTCGGCCATGTCACCGGCAAAGTTGTTCGGGATCATGTGTTGCATCCGGATCTTTACAAAGCGATCCATAGCCGCCTTGTCACCATCGACAAGGACTGGGCTGCCCTTCGAGAGGACAAGCGCAAACGCGATCTCACCTATGGCATGAACAAGTACGATGAGGCCCGGAGAAAGTACCTCCCCCGTCCTACTCCGCTCGAAAGCCTGGGTGATGACGCCCCGACCTTTACTCGGCTCTGGTTCCTCGTCGATCGGTGGCTCGAACTGACAACCGACGGAAACACAGTCCTGAATCTCGACAATGGCACTTCGGCACTGATTGCTGGTCTCGACCCAGTCCCCCTACCTATGACAACCTCGAAGTTCGCCAAGTGTATTGGTCCCCGAGACCAGCAGAACGTCAAAGCTTCTACCAATTCGAGTATCTTTGACTTCGCCTCGATTTACGATTCGCTCCGCACCGACATCGAGGATATGCTTGCTCGAGAGAACATCCAGCTTGCTCAGCGCATAAAGCAACTTGAAGACGAGAACAGCGTCATGCTGCCAGAGCTGAAACGTCTTCGAGCAACGCTCGCTTCTACTCGCGAGTCGCGCCTGGACAAATGGTCTTGGAAACTTCAAAGTTACAATGAGAAGCAACGAAAGGAAGGAAAACCGTACTTTGGGTCTCGTGAGATGTTTGGATTCTTGCAATTCGTGGAGCAGCAGGAGGCAAAGGAAAGAATTTGAAAGTTGCGTTGGGAACTGAAGAAGGGGTGTAATGTTAGCTGGAGCGAGGTGCGAAAAGCAAAGGACTTCGCAGTCAGAATCCACGACCAGAAGACACTACTCTCAAGGAAAGAGCTCCAGAATGAACATTCAGATCAGAGAATCGAATTGAAAGCGGCTCTTCGCATACCATTGGTCAGCCAGATGAAGAAAGTCATTTAGGCTTTGAATCCATCGCAAAGGTTCACGCCAGAGCTTTCCGAGCTGAGTAGACGAAATCGCAGATCATTGATTTTCATGTACAAGCTTCGAGCTGGAATAGCATTCCAACACACTGGATTACCATGCCCTTCATGACATGGCTCCCGTCTTGGCGGACGCATGCGTCTACTCAACCGCCGCTTCCGCAACAAAACCTAAACGCTCATGGTAGGTGGACTGCTGCGCGCGACGGAGTGGAAAGCGATTCATGAGACATTGGGTCGATCGAACAGCTTGAGTCTGGAGGCACCGGAGCTTCTGCATGGTAGCTTCTTGTTTGTAAGAATCGGAGTAGATGCTGACGCAGGAGAGTCGGAGAGAAAAGACCTAGAGTCCGACAGCTTCACAGTCATATGATTACTGATGCGTGTTGAACTTCCTCAGACAAACAAAGAGTTCAACGTCGATCTCGGGAAGACCTTTCATCGTTGACAAGATTCATGGGGAACGTGGCTTGGAAATCCTGACTGTGCTCTGCTTACGCGCTTCCGCGGCGAGACCACCGAGAATTGTCATTGGCTCCTCTCCCCCCTTGTTCGATCTGACGACGGATCTGGACCAGTTCCGAGGGGCGACATTTGAGTTTGGGTAGACAAATGAAAGGAATGGTGCTTTTGTGGGAGGGCTTGGTGCCAAACGTCATGATTACTATTTGCTCCCACCTTCAAACACCGACGACGCCTGGCCGCATGCAGCCAGACATGACAGATCAATGTCGATATTTGGACGTTGTTTCAACGCGCAGCCACTGCCACCGCAGACAGATTGGACGCCATACCGCCATTCCCGGCGATAGGCGAGGGAGACAAGAAGGATAAGCCTCCTCCTTCTCTCATGTACATGCTGCAACCTTCAAGCAAGCGCCACTGGACCGTGCAGTTGTGGTTCACACAAGTCAGGCCTGCGCTAGAGGCGCGGTGGGACGTGGTACCGGAAGCCGGACTTCAGCAGATTAAATGCTGACACCGCGACGCGGACGTGTGCCCAGGGACGGAGGAACGGGGCTTTCTGGGGCCGATTGTCTGGAGGGGGAGACGACGGACCGAGGGGAAGGTGACACTGGAGCGTTGAAGAGAGTTTTGCTGGTTTCTGGAGCTATCGAGTTGGTGTTGACACTTGGGCCGCTTCTTGAGGGGAGGGAGGCGGTTGAATTTCTGATGAACATGTCGTGAAGATGGTGTGCGACCCCAGGTGAGGTGTGCTTGGCTACTGACAATTTAGCTTCGAGTCATTTCAAGGCAAGGGGTTTTGATTTTCATGGTC